AGATTGGGTTGGTTCTGTGGGAGACAGAAAATCAACTTCAGGATATTGTACATTTGTGGGAGGGAACCTGGTCACATGGCGCAGTAAGAAGCAGAATGTTGTGGCTAGATCAAGTGCAGAAGTAGAATACCGAGCTATGGCACACGGGGTGGCTGAACTCTTATGGCTAAGAACTCTTCTTAATGAGCTTGGTATTAAGGCTGAGGGTCCTCTCAGGCTGTATTGTGATAATAAAGCTGCTATCAACATTGCCAACAATCCCGTGCAGCATGACAGGACAAAACATATTGAAATTGATCGACACTTTGTCAGAGAGAGAATTGTTTCAGGAGAACTCTGTGTGCCTTATACTCCATCAGAGATGYARATTGYRGRTGTATTRACWAAAGGRCTRGCAWCAACRAAGTTCAGGGACATACTTGGCAAGCTAAACATGATTGATATCCATGCTTAGCTTGAGGGGGAGTGTTAGAATGTTGAATGATGTCTCTTTATATGAGTGTTCAGCTGATAAGAGTTCTTATTAGCCCATACTTAAGTTCAAGCTATCTTGTAACCGGGCCTGTGTTAATGAGCCTAAGCCTGTTTAATGTTTTAAGTTACTGGGTGTCCCATCACTAATCAGGGGCATTCCAATAATTACTTGTATCTTGTACTACATTCAAATATAAATAATAACATGGTCGACTGGCTAGGTCAGTTCGACATTCCAGCATCTCTTCTTCTTCTTCTCCTTTCTGCTACTTTGGCTATAGTAGTTTAACTTTCAGTTTACACAAGGTGGGATTCTATTATTTCCAATTCCAAATTTAAAGGCAGAGGTGGTGCTACTGCCTGTGTTCTTATATTTTACTAGTCAATTTATTGCAATTTATTTTACCGGATCCCAATCAATATACTTTAATCTGCCTTGGGAATGTTATGATTGACTTTCTTCTTACTACAACCTTTTTCATTGCAGAGACCTCACCTTCAACAGATTGACTGGTCAAATTCCAGAGAACCTTCGGCATTTGCCAAAACTAGAATACCTGTATGTAATAAGTATAAAATAAAATAAACATAAATTCAAGGTTTTTTTATGAAAAATCTTGATTTTATTTTTAAATGTTTCATTCCTTTATCATCCTTGTTTCATAGATAGATCCTCTAGTTGCAACTAGACATGATATTGATTACGAATGTAGGTATCTCACTAATAACGCATTAACTGGATTGGTACCAGCTTGGATCATGGAGAATAAACATAATATGTACGTATGTTTTATTAAAAGCTTCAAACCATATTTCATTTGGCTATGCAGTATTTCTTCATCTCTACTTGGTGATTTTGATCTATATATGACTTTTCTAAGTTTTACAGTTAGACTGGTATGTCTAACTTTCTACACATCTGTCTTGCAGTGATGTATCTTACAACAATTTTACAGGATATTCTACAACACCTAGCTGCGAGCAACCAGATATGTAAGATGCTCTCTACACAATATCTAAATTAGTCCTTACCACACCCTCTTCTCTGTTTTCTATTGACTTCCATTTTCACATTGTTTAACAGCAAAACAATTGCCAGTTATTCATCTTCAGAAGAAAACCAGTAAGTGTTTAGTCTCTTAAGAGCCTAGTTGCTTCAGCTATAGGCCATATCAAGGAAATAAATGATCCAAAACTTTTTGTAGATTCAGTTGGTGCCTAAATAAGGACCTCCCCTGCTCTAGCAAACCGAAATGTAAGTAATTTTTCTTTTTACATGATCCAAATGTTCTCAGACCTTCAACTGTTTACTTACGTCTACCATAAAATATTCTCTTTGTGACAATTATTACATATTGTTCATCTTTCATATGTAGATCATTCCTTGTTTATTAATTGTGGTGGACCAAAGGTGGAATTTAATGGGGAACCTTATGAAGATGACTTACTAACAATGGGCCCATCAGACTTCCACCACTCAAGTGACAGATGGGCTTGCAGCACCACAGGAGACTACTTAAACAATGACAAAGCTGATTACCTTACCACAAACAATGTGCTGAACATGACTGATGCAGATATATATAGGACAGCACGCCTTGCTCCTTTGTCACTTAGGTACTATGGCCTCTGCTTACGTAAGGGAAGTTATACAGTGAAGCTCCACTTTGCCGAAACCATGTACACAAATGACCAGACATTTAGCAGCCTTGGGGAACGCATATTTGATGTATCAATCCAAGTGAGTTGGCAGATTTCCATCACCTAGTATTCAGTTATGATGTTGTTTTCAGTGATCATGGTCTGAAAGAAATCTGGTAGAGAAGATACCACTTAGTTGAATCTCTTTACTAGAAGAAAAGATAAATCTATGTTTAACTGTCTGAGCTGATAAACTATTATAAATTATAATTAACTAATGAAATATATCTGTGTTTATGAATTTTGGGTGACATCTTTGCTTCTTTGTAGGGTCAAGTACGGTTGAAGGATTTCAATATTGCTAAAGAAGCTAATGGTGTTGGTAAAGGAATCATTAGGGAATTTAATGATGTCATTGTTAATGGTAGCACTCTAGAGATTCACTTATACTGGTCAGGGAAAGGGACTACTGCCATTCCAGAGCGAGGTGTATATGGGCCCCTTATATCAGCTATTACAGTGACACCAAGTAAGTATATCTAGACATTTACATATCAGTCCCATTCCCCTCTTGATAACATGGTTGTAATGATGACCTTTTTATTGTAGACTTCAACCCTGATACTGGGCTATCTGTTGGAGCTATTGTTGGTATAGCACTTGCTGCATGCACATTTATCATATTGATTTTGATATTCCTTTGGGTAAAAGATTATTTGGGAGGAAAGGATCCCGAGGACAAAGGTAGATAAGTATACCTAGAACTTGTGCTTTTTATTTCAATATACATTCTATACAATTATTCTTTTTGGCATTTGGTGGTTAGTTCATGTGACAGGGCCTTTATTTGAAAAGGAGGTCATATATGAGAATTTTTATCTTCTCATATGTGATATTGTTAAAATCTCCCATGCAGTGCAGCATATGTTACAACTACATAATGAAATATAAATACACTATTATATTTCCAATGAACTTCACTTGTTCATCAAACAGCAGACAGGCCTTTATGTATGATGGATGTGTACCATGTGATGTTCATTACCATTATTTGGAGCAAGAACTGTGTTCTTATTCAAATTGAAAATCACCATGATTGGCATCACACAAAGCATGGAAACACTGAAAAGCAAAGGCCTCACAAAGTTCTACATTCAGTGAAACAGCTGCTGTTACATTACAATATTGTGCCATACATGTAGGTTAATGGGGATTGATGACCAAGCAATAAGAAGCTCTACAATTCACCTTTTGACTGCTAAGAAAAATTAGACCAGTCCAAAATCATAGTTGGACTTGAAGCACTCACTAGAAACTTTCTGGAAAATGCATCTGTTTCTACCTTAGCTCAATTAGATCAAGAATGAATCAATGAACAAACAAGTGATCTAAAAAATCTATAACTGTAGAAAGTAGAAACTAGTAAGATGGTTAGTCAAACTTTAATTTGTCTTATCCCAAGGACAAAAATAAACTTTCCAATAAGAAAAGGTCAGTACCCAATGGCAATCCTGACTTTGTGGGTGGACTGGATAGAGTCCTAATCTTCAGCATTTTAGCACAAAGTGGTTGCTTTCATGCTTGAATCTGTGCTCTCACCTATAATACCTGGATACCTGAAGAAGGGTGCCCTATCTTGTTGGATACTTGAATTTATAGTGTAAATTTGATATCCATTCCTGTATCCAGTTGCATCTAGGTAACACTTTTTTTTTGTCTATTGAATCAAGCAATGTCCCCTATGACAATATCAGAATTAATTCACATGATGGGCTATCCATGGTAGGTAAACTTTGGCAGGAGACTAATATAGGCATGATTGAACAGTGCTTGATGCCAGAAAGGTGTACCAATAGCAGAATGATGGACTTTTTTTTAGAACAGAAAGATGGACTTAAAGTTTAAACCTTCTGGATTAATTTGCATAGCAAACTCATAATAGAATTAAGGAGAATAAGTAAAACCACACATTTATCATGATATCTGTTTAAATAGTTGGCCATGAAAGATTGAAATGAAAATAAAATTCACTATTCTTTTCTAAAACCATATTTTAACTTTTACAAGAATTATCACTGAGTTTGCAGAACTTAGAAGATTAGAGACAGGTTACTTCAGTTTAAAGCAAATTAAAGCTGCAACAGGGAACTTTGATGCAGCAAACAAGATAGGTGAAGGTGGATTTGGACCAGTTTACAAGGTAATTTACATATCACATGTCCTGGAACCTTGAAGTCAATGATCCGAGTTTGCATATGAAAAGGAAAAGTATATGGCATTTCTGTCGTTGACTTTCTCAATTTTCATGTGCTCAACTTTCTATAAATAAAAATATTTAAATTTTCCTTTTTGATTTTAGGGTATATTGTCAGATGGTTCTGTAATTGCCGTCAAGCAGCTCTCCTCCAAGTCAAAACAAGGGAACCGTGAGTTTGTAAATGAGATAGGCATGATATCTGCTTTGCAACACCCAAATCTGGTGAAACTTTATGGGTGTTGTATTGAAGGAAACCAGCTATTACTGATATATGAATACATGGAAAATAATAGCCTTGCACGTGCTCTATTTGGTAAATATCTTCAGCCTTTTATTTGTATTAAAACTTGACTTCACTATGGTTCTATCCTTAATGTTGACAAGAGTACGTTATATGTAGGTCGTGAGGAACATCGTTTGAAGCTAGACTGGCCAACAAGACGTAAAATTTGCTTGGGAATAGCAAGGGGTTTAGCTTATCTACATGAAGAGTCAAGGCTGAAGATTGTCCATAGAGACATAAAGGCAACCAATGTGCTTCTTGATAAGGATCTGAATGCTAAGATATCTGACTTCGGTTTAGCTAAACTCGATGAAGAGGAGAACACCCATATCAGCACCCGAATAGCTGGGACTATGTGAGTAATTTACCTTATTTCCTACTCATTTCTTCTCCAAATGTGATTAAATTTCACAAAAAAAAAAGACTGTCATCTTCCAAATAAGATTAGTAGTGCCAGGTTAACATTGCAAAAGTTGGGTATTTAAGATTTAAATTGCAAAATGGATAACAAAAAGTGTGTAATGGACTTGGACAGTTCTTAATCACAACCATAGGTGCTAAACTCTTACCCGTCAAGATTTTAAAAGTAGAAAACTGAATTAAGAATGAACAAGGCTAGTGCCACGGACAAAGAAAACTGCACAAACACACATTAATGCACGATCAGGTGTTTTTTTGTAAAACACCATTAAACCTGTTAGACAGTGTATGCCCTTAGCTCCAATCAGATTGATGTACTTATTGTCATTTATTGTAAATGAATAAAGTGCATAATTGATTCATGTTATTATGGTGTGTTTCTGTGTAATACCCTTAAACTAGACACTTATGAGACTCGTGTTAGTTTAGAATCTTTACAGCCGTTGGATAGATCTAGGGAGATTTATTCTGCCAAGGCTGACACTGATGTGTTGTCAAGTTGGTTGGTGGCTTGTCTCAGCTGCTAGGGTGAGACCTGAGGTACATGCAGTGTGGGTTTGCTTGAAACCCTGAAGCGGACCAAATTCTAGTATTGCCCTGGACCTTGGAGATAAATGGGCAAAACTGGAATGTTACACCTGACCCCTAGACTCGATTATGGTACTACACTAGGTGTTGGATTGGGCTGCCTTTGATATGCCAATCAGTGAGATCCTTGACCGGTCAAAACCTGGGTATGTTGGGACAGTCCGAGAATTCACCTGAGTGGGTGATCATAGTGACATGATCAACCCCTTTGTTGGACAAATTGAATGATCGGGGAATGCACTCTCTCTGATGGAAACCTAAACTGCCGACAGTTGATTTCAAAGTGTTGAAATTTGTTTTGCAAAATATATTTTTATATAGAGATATACTTATATGTTATGGTTTCACAAAATATTTGCAAAAGGTTTTAATTCCCGGGATCCATGTGAATAGAGAGTGCAGCAATATACCTTGCAACCGAGGGAGATGTTCTCTCTTGGCGGGCAATATATGATCATTATGGGCTGAGAGGTTAAGTGTAAGACCATTGAGGRTAATACCTGATGGGCTAATCTTACATCTGCCCACAGTCCTTGGGTTTTCACAAGATGGCTCGACCCAAGGACCATTTAGTGTAAATGTTGGGCCCATTAAGAGCCCATGGTGATGGACTCGGGGTTTTACTGTGACCTATAGTGAATTCGACCAGGCCTTGTAACAAAGGCTGGGCTGAGCCCATGTGGCTGATGTGTAGATCAATGCTAGGGTCCCACGCCATACAAAGAGAACCAAACTAGCCAGCATATAATGGGTTAAGTGAGCAATATGACTTAATGGGCCTAAGGCCCATTTCGAACTGGGCTTAAGTGGTTTAATTAAAATGGGTCGTTTTGGGTTTATAATCTGACTGGGATTAGCAGTTGGATAAGATAGGTCTAATCAACTTGAGAGTCCAGATCTAAATACAAGATTTAGATTAGGAAATCTCATTCCTAATCAGATTAGGAAGCTGATCCTGAAAGGATTATAAATAGGGGCGAATTCCACAGAGAAAACATACTCCTTTCTGCAGTCTTTTCTCTCCCTTAGCTCTTGGCACCATCCTAGTTCGATCTCCACCTATTGGAGTAATCAAGAAGCGTTCTTGATATTTTTTGTTGGTGAAGAAACAATCTAAAGTCGTGCTCACATCACCCTACTCGATTCTTGCTGAAGAATCCCAGGTTCTTGCCGAAGAACCCTTCTTGCTGATCCTGCCTTAATATACGATGTGTCATCTTTAGTGGAGGTGGATTTGGTATCCTCTTTGGGTGTGAACACCTACATTGGGAGTTCCTTTTGATTCTGTATCAAGTATATCTCTCTCCCTCCTTTTGGTTTCAGATATGGTCCGATTTTGTTTCAACAACGAATCTTGAAAATGCAGTTTTCTAAATCAGGGGATACGATTCCCAGATGGGAGAGAGAATTTTTGAAATTTCGCCCAACCTCCCTGCAAGGTTCGGCCATCCATATGATGGATCTCCCATCCCTTCAAAACCAATGTTCTATACTTTTATCATTTTGTGTTTTCACATACCATGGAATTTCATGTCCATGATGCTAGAATATTTCTTTTGTTAATTTATTGATTTTTGATCAATCAACTTTCCAAAACAGAAATTGTCTACCCAAAGATCCAAATATGAAATTATCTGAAAATTTTAATAAGTTTTGTATTTTTAGGTCATAAGGGTGTTTTAGTCATTTTACATGTTTCTATGCAGTCCTTTCTAATACTTTGATTTATCTAGTCATGTTTTAGTTGTATTTAAAATTTCTTTTTTGTATCAATAACTTCAAGTTCATTAAAACAGAGAGCAAATTACAAAGGAGAGGTTAAAACTCTGAACTCTCCTAAGAAAAAGCAAAATTACAATTGAGCCCAAAATGATTGATTTCTTCCTGCCCCTTGTTTTGCCAAGGCATCAGAAAAACCATTATCTGTCTTTTAACCCAGATAACTCTCACATCCATGCTTCATGTCAACCATTTAAATTTCTTCCTTTCCTTTATATAAGTATACAGTCCAGATTCTTCCTTTTGCAGTCATCCCACCACCAGCTTTGATTCTCCTTCTATAATCAATTTACTGATGTTCATGTCCTTTGCTCTTTGCACTCATTCTATCATAGCCAAGATCTCAGCCCTTAATAAATCTCCTTCACTTATTGGCCCAGAAAATAGACCAACAATGTATTTAAAATTTCAGAATTAATGGTTAAGTAGTTTAGAAGTTATTTAGTTTTCTTATGATAGTGGCAACTATTTAATTTCAGTTTTTCCTAGTTCTAGTAGGATTTGCTACCCCTATAATGTCTGTATATATGCCTAAATTGCAAAAGCGTGGATCTGATGAGTGAATGAAGATTGTTTGAGATCATAAGGCTTATGCTATTTGTGGTGAGTGGTTTTCATGCCCTAGAGCATAGTTTTCAAGGCACCAAGGTGAGGCTAGGCGACAGGGGGCACCTTGTTGCCTAGTTGCCTAGGCAGTGGATTTTTTTTTATGTTGGGAACATAGATCCTAGGGTAGTTTCCTAGGTACCATAACCATATTTTCTTAATAATTATTCATAATTTTCATAAGAAAAGTATAAAGTTCATATTAAAGTATAGAAAGTCAACATATTCATGAGAAGAAAAAGAAGAAGGAAAATAAAATTCAAAAAACATAGGGGATGAACCCTTATTTTTGTTATAGGAAAAGAAGAAAAGAAAAAGTAATGGTTATTGGTTCAGGTTCTAAAGAATATATGGAAGAATAAACTGTTCTGACTAGATAAAATTTTAAGTTCTTCCTTACTTATTGGTTCGGGTTCTGAAGCCTTTGAGGGTTCAATACAACATTTAGCAATGTTTGTGTTGATTAAACCCTAATAAATGAGAAAATAATAAAAAGAAATTAGTATATAAACACAAGAATGATTATTTTAGTTTAATTATGTCTATTTTATAATTATAATCTCAAAAAAGAATGAATAAAAAAGTATTTTATATTAGGAAGTAAAAAACTGCTTGGTGATTAGGCAAGGCGAGCCTCAATGGGCGCCTTGTTGGCTAGGCGTCGCCTTGAGAACTATGCCCTAGAGTGATTCTAGGTACCTCATTAAGTGATTATGAACTTTAGCTCTCCTTTCTCCCTCCATTTTCTTTCTTAATCTTTCAASAAATCTTTAAATCCATAAACAGCTAGAAGTTTCTCATCAAAAGATGATCATTCAACATTCCCTAAGGACTGGAAATGATCTAGGTGAGTGAGCCAAACAAACTTCAATCCCTCACATATTTGGATGCCCCCATATATCCTTACACCCTTTCATTTCTCTAAATATCATCCCAAAATTCTACCTAGAACCCTATATTCCTTACTTTTTTTTATTTGACTCCCAATCCTACAATTTCCATCCTTTTGTCCAAGATGTATTCTGGACCATGCCAAACTTGGTAACCCTAGACCTATTTTCCCTAATTGAAACTTGACAAATTTAAACTCATCTCTTGATCATTTAAGTCCTATATCAGTTGRCATCAGAGCAAGCAGTCCTACATACCAAGAGGTGTTTTTCCATCCATATAGTATTAATGTATTATCTCAAGAAACAGGATTAGAAATAGATGAGTGCCTCTAGAAGAACATCAATCCTTTTATTGAAAGATGAACAAAGAAAGTTTGCAACTTAATAATATATTTACATAATCAGTTTTAAAATGTCAGTAGGACAACGAGAGTAAAAAGAAACAAAGAACTTGCACATGTTAAGAAAGAAACAATATATAGGCTAGCTTGGAGAACTTTGCTAAACTGACCAATTGGGTGGAACAAACCAAATCACTGATCTCAGTAGCTTGTTGCTTAAGCAAATCTCTCCTAGGGGCAAGTTGCAAACTTTTGACTATGCAGGGTCGAGGAATTGTTGTGTCTAAGATTCAGACATCTTTATCTGGATTAAGTTTGCAATAATATGACACACTTCCTTTTTTTCTCCCGTAGAGGATATATGGCTCCAGAATATGCTATGAGGGGTTATTTGACTGACAAAGCAGACGTTTACAGCTTTGGAGTTGTGTTGTTAGAGATAGTCAGCGGAAAGAGCAACACAAGTTATAGGCCAAAGGAGGATTTCGTTTATCTTCTTGATTGGGTAAGCTGAGCATTTTGCAGTTCTTCATGGAGCAATTTATTTTTACTAGTCAAGAACCTAGAACTTGGAAACTGTTGCTTGTTAATTGGTTATGCACATATATCTACCAGTATAGCATCAGACTAACAAATTCATATGCACTTTGATGGTTTGAAAATTTTGATGAGATTAAAATATAGCGTCTTCTTTTATGGAACTACAGACATATGTGTTAGAAGAGCAGGGGAATCTCTTGGAGCTTGTTGATCCCATCCTTGAATCAAACTATTCTAAAGAAGAGGCATTAAGAATGCTCAATTTGGCTCTCTTATGCACCAATCCATCTCCTACCCTCAGGCCAGCCATGTCTGCCGTAGTAAGCATGATAGAAGGTAAAATTGCCATCCAAGCTCCACTCGTCAAGCGGCGCTCAGCAGATGAAGAGTTGAGATTTAAGGCCTTTGAGAAGCTCTCCCATGACAGCCAATCATACATCTCAATCACATCTCATGAAGGTCAGATGCAGAAGAGCATGTCGATGGAGGGACCATGGATTGATTCCTCTCTGTCTTCCCAGGGCAAATAAGAGAACAGACTTCTGCGTGATGCCACTGAAACTAATTCAAACAAAAAGTATGTGTCTGTGATAGAGAGAGAGAGAGAGCTTGTTCATAACCTTTTTTTTTTTCTTTTCGAAGTTTAATTGTTCACAACTTTCATTTATAAAATTATAAGTTGAATGTATATATGAATACGTGATGAGATTGCCTGGTTGTTTGTTGATGTTTGTGTGGTGGGTCAGTTGGGAATTGGGCACAGTCACATTCGACCGTGTATTGCGAACATCTCCCATGAAAAATAACACGAGAGGTGTCGATGGGTTCGGGTGGTTAAAACGGTAAACCTGGTGGATTGGGATCATGTTTATTTAGGTGCAGTGTGGGTTAGGGTTTAGATGCCCCAACCTGAATTGGGTTCAGATTTCATAATCCCAAACCCATCAGATCATGACGCTCATATACATGGTTTTGAAAATTGGACCGGACTGGATGGCTGCACTGGTTGACCCAGGAATGGATCATGGCTTTGGTTTTGGTTTTGGACCCCAAAACCATCCAATCGGGGTTTGGACCAGATGGTTGAACCCATTTGACCCTAGAGTTGTGGTCAAAGTGGTTTAGTTTCTGGTTTGGTTTTCAAAACCATGCTCCTATAATATATTATTGCCAATATTGTATTGGATGGTTGGGCTGGTTGAACCATGACTGATCCCCTGATTGGTTTGGTCATACCCTAAAATGGCATTCCGATTTTCATTCTTCGTGGAATGGGATTCCCCCCACCCTGTATGGGGGAATGGCCATTCCAAACCCCCCTTTCACGAGATCACATCTCTACCCCACAAGGAGCCGCCCCACAACACCCCATAGCACATATTGAGAACATCTCCTGATGATGACATTATCAAGACTGGTACTATCATCAGGAGATGTTCCCAATACATGATGGGGATGTGTTACAGGGCGTTGTGGGGGAGACATAGGATTCCTATTCCAAAGTTTTTTAGAAGAACTCCTAACAAATAAAAAAAAAAAACTCAAACCCTAATAATAATAATAATAATAATATACTAAATATCAATTATTAAATACTAATAAAATAATAATACAATATTAACAAACTTGTAATAAAAATATTGATAAAATAATAACAAAACAATAATATGTTATTTTATTAGTAAATTAACAATAATGTAAAAATAATATAACAATAATTATACAAAACAGGCATTAGGAATAGGCGTTTCCAATTCTGATTTTAAGAGATTTCGATTCCGATTCCATTCCGATTCCTATCCCGTCCTTAACCAAACGGACCCTAAAACTTCTAAAGCCCAAAGTACAAAACCCTCATTTTTCAGTTTTCACTTTGTCTTCTTTCCATGTTCCAAAACTCGAAATCGCCATCGCCGCTGTTCTCTTTCTCTCTCCCTTCTTTTCTTTTTGTGATAAACATCTCTCTCCCTTCTTCTTCTTCTTCTTCTTCTTCTTCTTCGGTCTTCTGTGTCTCACCTTATTGTCTGTCCTCACGGTAACCTGCGAGCTGTGGGTCATCTCTCCTTCTCTCCCTCCTCTTTCTCCTCCTCCTTCTCCTCCTCCTTCTCCTCCTTTTCCCATTCCGTTATTGTGTCTCCACCGTCAAATGCCCTGTTTAACCACCCAAGCTTGCGATATCCACGCCAAGTGAAGGTCAGCGGTTACCCTGGGCTTCTGTGTCTCACTCGTTGCAGTGTAAAGAGGCTACTCTTTCCATTCGTGGAGGCTAGCTTGGGTATCTCACTAAAGGTTAGTGGCGGCAACACCATTTTTTCWCCCATTATTCTCTGTTTTGTGTTTTTTAWTTTTAAAATCATTAATATCTAATTCGGAGAAATATGGGATGTTCAACAACAAACTGTGGTCTTAAAAATTTAAAATTGTTTGTGTTCATGTTTCGGTTTAGATTTGGATAAAACAAATCTAAAATTGTTTGTAGAATGCCATTTAAAAATTATTTGTATGCAGCTTTTAAAATTTAAAGTTGTTTGTATGCAAGTGCAACTTTTAAAATTGATTGTATACATGTTCTAATTCTAAAATTGTTGAATGACAAAGTTTAAAATTGTTTGTAGAATGCCATTATAAATTTTTAATTATTGAATTCAGATTATTGAATACTTGTGTGATTGCTAAGATTCTTTTCTTAATTTTAGTTAGATATTGAAATAAAATATACATAGTTAATTTTGTTGAACTAAACATTGAAGGTTTGAAATGTTGTTTGTATTACTTATTACGTCATCATGGTTTTATATCTGATTTGACCCCGATTGGACCTTTGATCTGTGAATGTGAACCTCTCCCAGTATCCCTTTTATACTTGGTACGGTTCTCTAAACATTGTTTCTAACCAATAACTTTAAGATTGCGTTTGGTTTGAAAGAGAAGGTAGGGAAAACTGCTAGTCTGGTACATATTTCCCTATCTTTTCTTTCAAACCAAACACAGCAAAATTTTTAGTTTTTTCTTTTCATATTTGTTTTAGTTTTTCTTTCTTTGCATTGGATGAAGTGAGGCGTTGAACTTGGAGCCATCAACTGAATTGGGAAATTCCAATAATGTTATTATGTTTAGAAAATGTGCTGTAAAGGATAGAATTGAAGGACTATGGGTCAGGTTTTGTTGAAAGCGTTAGAGGGTCGGATTAGGGTGAGGGGGAAACCCATATTGAATCTGACCCGTTCACATCCCTACTCAACTGTTTTTGGTTACATTATTTGTTATATTTGCATGTAAGGATGGATTTGAGCTGATCCAAGCTGAATATCTGACTATTCGAGCTTGGCTCGGCAAAACAAATCAGGCTTGAGTTCGGGCTTGAGTTCGACTTGAGTTAGAGACATGAGTTCTAATTCAGCTTAACTAAAAAGCTTGTATGTTTGAGCTTGACTCAGCTTGAGCTCGATAGTGAGCCAAGCTTCATATAAAAATAAAAAATTATATATATATATATATATATATATAAATTATTTCTTATTATACATATAAAAAATATTTGTTATGATATATAAAAAAATTTGAAAATATTATATATAATATAAGCTCGATTAGACTTGCGAGCCTCACGAGTCAAGCTTCATTAGGCTTGAGCATGGCTCGATTAGCAAATGAGCCTACATATTGGGCTTGTGCTTGGCTCAAAGCACCGTTTAAACCGAATGGAGTTGAGCTTTTCATGACCCAAGCTCGAATAGCTCATGAAAAGCTTGGTTTGTGTCCATCCCTACTGACAGGGAGGCAACATCTTTCATTCTCTTTTCATTTGCTATGCAACAACTAGTTGATCGCCACTATTTCTCATTTCCCTGTGCTTCTACACTATACTCTCTGCTCTCTAACTACCCATTCTCAGTTGAATCCTTGAAGAAGGTTCTGTTTGAAGCCTTTCTCTCTGTCTCTTTATGAGGTTAGTGAACAATAAAACTTGCAGATTCTTTCTTTATTTTTGTCTTTTGGATTGATATATGATCTCTCAATCTTCCTTCCTCTGTTACTCACAGCTAGCTGTGCACAAACTTTGTGCATTTGTCCACTCTCTATCCTTTGAATTTGGAGTAGCTGCATTTGATGGATGTTTAACTGTTTTAACGGCTGTTTATTCCACATGTTTTAACCTCTTAATCATGTGAGAAGACCGTTTATTATTTTTATGTTTTAGGAAATCATAACTTAAAAGCTAAAGGGGCTCTTTGAGCAAAACACCTTCCTCTTCTCCTCCCTCTTCCTACACACACTGTTTCCCTCTCCTTCTCTGCTCTAGTTCCCCACCTTTCACTGGTAGATGCCACCACCTGATGCTGCTGCTGTTGCATTGAAGCATGCGGCACTCCTGTTACCTGACAGCCACCACCACTTCGTTGAAGCAAGGTGCCAGCAGATCTGATCTCCTGTAAATGCTAAGGTAAAACCCTTTTTACATGAATAATGAGAGCAGACTCAGAAAACAGTTAGAAGAGTTCAAACAGAGAGAAAGGGGAAGAGGATGGATTTTTTCAAAGAGAAACAACCCCTTTAACATTTACTTTTAATGAAATAGTAATAATAATGGATGCCTAGCAGGGGTATCCATATTCTCACACAGTGATGAGTGAAGAGGATCAAATGTATGGTGCTGATGTGGGCTGTTCTGAATCATCAATCACGTATGTAACTGCAAAGATGGCATGGAGGAGAAGGGAAGAGCTTCAAGCAAAATCAGTTGCAAAATCATGCATGTTTACAAATATACTAATATTTTTATATATAAAGTGGATAAAAAAGTAATGAATTTCTGTTTTTTGATATCCAAATTATTCACATATTATACATTTTTTTTAAGAAGTTTTTCATATTTTTAGGTGTCTTTGAGTAAGTTAGCACCTAATATGTTTAAAGTGAAAAAAAAAAGTAAATAAGCCTTTACATCAGTTATTTTTTATTTAAAAGCCTTCAGGTTATATGACTAGATCACCCTAAAGAGTTGTCATGAAAATCTATCTATTAGTCTTAAGAAACAATTAAGATTCAATAACCTAGCACTATAATTTTCACACTTGAATGTTCATACATTTTGCCCTTTCATTCTCTCACACAATTTTCATCTTCATGCATTTTCTGCTTATAAGTCGTTGTAGACAACTTTTTTTTGTGCATTTCATAATTTATGGGGCCATGAAATATTGTCTTCAATAATACAAGGTTACAACATGTGGTAACGTTTGTTCCTATTGCAATAATGTTTGAATTATGTATATTTCTTCTCAAGGCAGCTTAGTGCTTTAAGACATTTAAGTAAATAAAAAAAAATATTTACATTTCATGTACATTTAGAGGCAAGCCTATTTCTTTATCAAAAGCTTATATTATTAAAGTTGTAGAAATTTATTTTTATAAAAAGCATTTCCATTTGGGTTTGAATATTAAATATTAATAGAATAGAATTCAAATATAGGTAGATTTAATCTGAACGTGACCTGTTTACAGCCATTATAGAGCAAAGATGCTGTTCTTCTTCCTTATGTAAAGGAAGCTGTGCATGACATACTGGTTTGAATTGCAGTGAAAGATGCTGCCGCAGAAGGTAAAGAAGGCTATTACTGAGAACCCAAGGAAACTTGCGAATCTGATTGATCTTGTTAATTTACCCTCAACACTCCGGGAGTTTGTTGGCCGGTCTCAGATTTCTCGATTGGGTTGTTTTATACATGTCTGGTCCTACATAAAAAAGAATAATCTCCAGGTTCTTCCTCCTATCCCTCCATCTTTTTCTTTTCTTCATGCCAACATTTTGTTTTCATAAAGTAAAATAAAAAAGAGCTGTATTGATCTGGTCCATGTGGAACCTTATTTTTCACACTAATCATTGTCTTTAGAAATTTTCATGAACATGGCTTCTGAGAATGAAAAACTTCAATGCTTTCCTGTTTATACAAAGCTAAATTTTTATTCTTTAAATCATGCCTCAAATTATACTTCATTTGGAAATTGTTGAGCCTACCATTTGGTAACCAAATGAAGTGGCTGAACTGAAATGCTTATTGTTGTGTCTTTTAGTGAGTAAATTTTTAAGGAGGCTGTGGGTAATGGCGGAAGCTGAAGTTGGAAGATTACCATACAACAGAGTTTAACAAGTGCTTGGGTTGGACTGGGACTGGCTCAACCCAACTCAGTTGGGAATGTCATAGGGCTCTTTCTGCTTTAATTTCCCTTAACAAAGCCTGTGGTTGCACAGGTCTCGACTAGCATTGTATTATGCTTACGGTGGTTCTTGCATTATTTTTTTCCAGAAATGGACCAGGCTGGTCCATTGAACTTGTTTGAATCAGAGGTTCAGTACTAGACCACAATGTGGTTCAATGAGAAATTGATGGTTCGTGTGGTTTTGATGTTGAACCATATGGATAAATTTGGGGAAAAAAAAGGCTGAGCCACTTTCGGCTTTGGTGCCTGGTATGATTTTCAAAAGATTTCACAAGTTTGTCAGTGCATTAAACTGTTACTGTTATAGGTTTCATAAATTGTTTTTTTGTACGTTTATAATTCCATATAAGTTTACTATTCCTAGTCATGAATCAATATAAACTATAAAGACCAAAGTTCTCGGTGATAATCAAATGGGTGGTGTTAATAAAATCTCAACACCTATTGGTCACGCACTAAAAGCATTCTTATATATTGAAGTTGTCTTGATTTTGATTTTTGAGAGGCAAGTGGTAGAGCATTTTGTGTTTTCTCCTTCATCCTTAACACCAATTAAGTAGTTAAGTTTTCTAAGAATTGGATAAATATGCTTGTCAAGAATTTGCCATGAGAGGAATTATCAAAAAAAGACTAATTGATATGAGATGATAGTAATTTCAATATGTTATGTTTTTGCAGGATCCAAACAACAAGAACTTAGTTAACTGTGATGAAAAATTGAGGAGTATATTATTGGGCAAGTCCCAGGTTGAATTGGCTGAACTCCCTATGTTGATCAAGCTCCATTTCCCCAAAGAGCCAAAGTAGGGTTGCACTGCTTGATGTTAACGAAGCTGATTTTCTCTAGATGTCACCCACTCCCGTATGATTCAACTCTGGAAATACTTTCTGCACGTCTGTATATTATTGTAGTCCTAATAAGGAATGAGAAAGTTCTTTCTGTGATTTTTTTTTTTGTAAATTTAAAGATCAGCATGTGAATCTTGGTAGAATTTTACTGTTAATTACAGGTTTCATCGACTTTGGATTAACAATCTTTTCATTGTGTGAAATTTCTTCGCCCTGTAGATAAGGAATTCCATAATGTTTATTATGCTCTAGGTACTACATCCACAATTCTACAGCCAATTTCTTCTGATGGGTGGGTATTAACTATTTTTTATTGTTTCCTTACCATCAAGGCATCAAATCTTTCTTTGCTAATTTATCTCCTGGTGATGTGTGATGTGTCATCGTTAAAAAAACATTCTTTACTAATTTAATAATTTGTACTACTATTGGATGGGACCGGATCTACTCCTCACACATGGCGCCTCACACCGACCTCATGGGCACATCCAACCGTGCATTGGAAACATCTCCCGTATTTATGTGCTATTATTTATGAGAAATGTTCTCAATGCATGGTGGGATATGCTTTTGAAGTTATTGTGAGGCGCCCTGTGTGAGGAGCAGATCCCAATTCGCGCGGCGAGTAAGATCTCGCAGCTCTCTCTCTCTCAGCAGTGATTTCAGATCCGAGATCTAATTTCAATCTCTCGATCCCCTCTCTGTTTTTATCAGAAAAAGCGGTCCACTTGAAAACTGGACCCAGAAGTCTGACTGTTTCCTGGGTCAAACAGTTAATCGTTGGGTTTTTCAAAACAATGAGGAATTGGATTCCAATTCCATCCAACCACATGACATGGACCATTTCGATTCTTATTCCAAATCCTTGTTCTCCATGCAATTAAATAAAGCTACCTACAACTTGGATTGGGTTGGGTCGGAAATTGTTAAAATTTCAATCGGCCAAAGTCATAATCCAAGCACGATGTAAATGAAATTCTTCATACTGGGCAAGCCGATCTGCAGATCTTGTCCCCGTTATGTAACCCCATGGAGCTGAAATGTTCCTTTTCAATGCCATTGTAGAAGGGATGGAAGTTCTGAGTTATATATTCTTCTCTTTCACATGAAAGTGAAAACTTTTGTTTTCCTTCTACTTCAAAACAAATTAAAAGGGGCGGAAAACAAAGTTTGCACTATAAAATGGATTAAGTTAAATAAGTGGGAAAATCTATGATACTAGAAAGACATGGTACCAATCAAAACACTGAATTTTGATGAATACCACTCGATTCTCTCTTTTATGATACTGGTTGATTTGCTGCAATTTTTTTTTTTTTTTTCGGGGGGGGGGGTTATGATTCAGTCCACTCCTAAGAAATCCTAGTTCCACCTAGGGGTGGACTGAAACCTGACCCGTGGATTGATGCCAAATTCACGGGCAGGATGTGATTTATAGGGGGGCTACTAGTAGACTAGGAGGGGGCTGCAAAAAAGATTTCTGAGGGGGAGTGCAGTCCAAAAATCCTTTTTTTTTTAATTTTTGGACTGCAATCCCCCTCAGAAATCTGAATTGCAGTCCTCTCCTAATCTACTAGTAGCCCCCCTATAAACCGCATCCTGCCCGTGTATTTGGCATCAATCCATGGTCAAGATTCAGTCCACCCCTAGAGTGGAGCTCTAGATGTATAGGGGTGGACTAACCTATAAAAACCCCAATTTTTTTTGGTATCATGTCTAATCCTATTTAGATTACGTCAATTTGAACAAAAAAAAAGGTAGCCCAGAAAAAAAATGAAAAGATATAGAACCATAAGAATATCAAATTGATCGGTTAAAGAGCTATATGGAATAGTCCGGCTCATCCGGTCTGATCCAGTGTCTGCCTAGGTTACATACTTGCAACAAAGGAAGTAACCCCTTCTGTTAATTTTTAATTAGAGGTAATTCGTCTAAAGCTCTTGAGGAAAGAACCACTCTTAGTGATCTCACGTAATGGTTTATTGGTGAACCGGATAATATTATAGGCCCAAGCACCTGACACCGCCCCACAAATGGGTCCGACCATATAAATCCATATCGCCTTGTACCGGTTTGTTACAATGGCCGGGCCCAAACTCCTAGCCGGGTTCATCGATGCCCCAGATACCGGCCTGTCCAATCAAAGCACAAACACCTTTCACCGTCATATTTCTAGAAAATGATAGTGATCATGTTAACCCATTCAGATCAAACCATCTTGTGAGTAAATAAAATAAGATACCCTGCAATGAGCACATTAAGTAAAATGGTAGCTCCCACGGCAAGTCCAGCAAGCTCTCCAACCTGAAACATCATAAGAGATCAAGAAGATAGAAAAATTAGTCCGGCCGGTTCAATTCAGGTTTGATCTAAACGAAACCAACTGAATCAATTATGTTGGTTCTGGTTTGTATGGTTTTGTCCGAATTAATAAAAGGATTGGGGCTGGTTCTTGCTGTTCTAAACTTTATTATATAGTTATTAATATATAAAGTTCTCTTGATTTTATTTTAATTTTATTATATTTTATGTTCAAAAGGGTCGATTTTACATAGATATTATATAAAATAATTTTGGCTAAAACACTTGTTTTATCAACATATAAACAATTTACTATTTTATTATCAATTTTTATTAAGATTATATTATAAAAATAAAATTATTATTATCATAAATAATTATAAATCTTAAATATAATCAGGTCAGACACGATTATCTCAATTAATAATTGAAACGGTTCTAAACCAGACCCGACCCATTGACAGCTCTAGCCTGGGCCCTGGGCCACGCAAGGTTTGAAGGTTTGAACAACTGAACAAGTGGAGAATGTGGATGAGAAGTAAGAACAGACCGCTCGGTTGTCAGTTGCGACGCCGGAGATAACAAACATGAGATAGAAAGAGATTAAGAACTCCATAACTAGTGACTGGAAGTTTGACCCCGTCGGCATGGTTCCGGCAAAGTGGACATGATCCCCGTCAAATAGTAACCGAAGGGTTCCACTTGCAAGCGTCGCACCGAGGACCTGTGCGGCTATATAGGCCGGCACCTACATCAACACTTACTTGTCAATTACCATTTGCCAAATAGAAAATGATACTAGCTAGGAAAGGCAAACGGAATGAGACAAAAAAAAGTTAGAAATAAAATATATTTTCATCCCTTTTAGCTTTTACGGCGTAAAGGTTGTTTTGTTTGTAATTTACATCAAAATAAAGATACCGGAAATGCACGATGCCTGAAAAATTATATATATATATATATATATATATATATAAATTGAGTATGGAACATGTTTGAATGCTGCTGATACTCTTTTTTTTAGTCTGGTACTTGAAAATAGGTTTGTTGGGATGAAATACCCATCCCCCCAACGCTCCCTCTGGAAAGAGTATAAATATAAACAAAATACAAGGTTTTACACTCTACATGTTTATATTTGTGCCCCTTCTAAACTGTCAAATTCTCAATATTTTTCATATCAATGATCATTGAAACTATACAATACCTCTTGTATTAGGCATGTATCATATTGATATTTTAAACCTTGGATATCAAAAATATTGTCAAAAGTAAATCAGTGTCTTTCCCTTTTTTTATTCTTTTGGTTTCATATGAAGGTAAACTCATACTAGGGGTGCAAGTTGGGCCAGATTAAGTCGGGTTGAGATCAGCCCTAACCTAACTCAAGTTGTTGAACCCCAACCCTAAAACGTCGGGTTGGATTCAGGTATTGGGCTTGTGTAAAAAAACATCTTTATCATGCTTCAGAAAAAAAAAAAGAAATGCCTTTAAATATAAAATTTTTGACATACAATACATGCCTACATGTATAGATAGATTAATATGCATATACAAAAATACTTGCACTAAAAAATACAGAAACATGCGCATATATACATTTATGGGTCGATATATAGTTTTATATGCTCATTTCCCTTCTAATTCTAAAGACTTTTTATCAACCCAAGGGTGGTTAATTAATATATTAGCTGGTTCACTCCAACATTAACGCAGAATCGATTTCTGCAACCACCAATTTGAGGGAAAAGGGGGGGCTTATTAGTGGTGCCTGGCACGTACCAAATACCTAAAGCACATTCAAAAGACCTATTATTTCAATTTTCAAAGTAGGGTTCTTAGGTTCTTAGGATTGTCTCTATGTCACAGTTTAAAGTTTAAACATACTTAAATTCTGAGGTATGTTTGTTCAACCACATTATCTTTCAATAAGTTCTCAAAAGTTTATCTTCCTCTTTTAAGAAGTGGTTGATCTCCTCAAGTGCTTACCCTTACTACCCTTAAAAGATCTTACATCTCCTCGATCGTGTGGTAGTCTTGATTAATCTTACACTCATGGGAACAATGCATGGATCGATCATATGCTTTGTACGAGAAGATGAGGCTTGCCTGTGGGTTGACCATGCAAATTTGCGCCATGTTCTAATTAGACGTGACAAATCCCATCAAAATCATGATTTACAACTGAACTAAGCTAATTATTATAAAGCTTATTAATGCCCATCTCCAACGGACTATTGCTTGTTTAATTAAACATTACCTGTTTCCATGGGAATCTCCGGCAGGTCGCAAAGGCGATGGTGACAGCGGGGTTGAAGTGAGCGCCTGAGATGTGGCCGACGGAGTAGACCATGACCATCACAACCAGTCCCCACGCTACGCAGATCCCAGGGAATGTCACCACTTTGTCTCTGCTAAAATTCACCACCACCGCCCCACACCCTGCAAATATCACAAAATATGTTGCAAACACCTCTGCAACCAACTGCACCCGTTTTGAATTAATAGTGACAAACATGGTTAATCAAATTTTAAGACCAGATCGATGCAGAGTTGAACTTGTAAAATGGAAATTCATATTAAGAAGAGAGAGAGAGAGAGACCTTCTGCAGGAAAGGTACAGATACACAAGAGCTTGAATCTTTGCTGGTTTTCTGATCATCCACCTTTTGAGGAATTACTTCATTGTCTTTGAAGTTCACTACAGCTTCTCCCTCCATGGAGTTTTCATAGGTTGTGTTAGTTCCAGAGATCTCATCCATCTATACTACTATCAGTTGTACTAACCCAGCAAAGATAAGAAACAGAAGATAAAGAAATGATCGATGATGGAGTCAGAGAATTAATGATCAATTGAATTCATGTATTTAACCCTGGGGAAAGTGGGCAGGAGCCAAGAAGATGGAGCTCAATTTATGGAGATCCAGAAGCCAAAACACAAAGGAGAACAAATGAGGAAGGGTGGGGTCACAAACTGACATCTCTTTTTTATATATATCTTCATTTGTTATTCTTCATCAAAATGTGATTTATTAGGACTTGAATGGAAATCGTTAAAAGATATGAATGTTGAGGAAGGAGAGAGCAATAACGAGAGCTCTCCTAAACGTTAGTAGTAGTAGGTAGCAACGGGTACCCGACTACCCACCATGATTAACAGGGTCTGGATCGGACCTTATCGTAAATGAGTCTGTCTAGGTTCATGAATTTAAGACCCTATAGGAATTGAATCCATTTCTGATCCAATCAGTAGGTACCCATCAAACATTTGGGATGAAGGAATAAAGTAAATTCACCTTTTCTTTTTTAATTCTGACTGTTTCCATGCAATGAAAGTCAAATTTTTTTGGCGGTTTATAACAGGATGTTGCCAATTTCCACCAACCCCATTTGTTCTGATCATTTGGTGGATCGGTTTGATAGAAAAGTACACAGAAAGTTGAAGGATAGTTTCAAGGAATTTCACAAATTCTGTTAAAAACTTTGCCTCCTCAACATTCTGTTTCCCTCTTATTTTCTCTCAAACCAAACATAGCCTTAGGGCCCATGATGTTGATGTAGAAAAACTACATAAAGCAGACCTCCTGCCTTCTCATTTGCCATGATAACCCATTTCATGGAAGGTGTGAAACTGTAGCAGAAAATGAGAATTTAATTGTAATTTGCAATTTTTCTCCTTAATTTCTATTTATGGATGTGTATTTAATTTTAGGCTCCTACCTTTTGAATCCTCAGATTGGAATCCACTTAATGAGCCATACCCCACCTTGCACTGGCAGTTTGCACCAATCTAATGGACATAAGGGTGCCTTATCAAGTGAAGGGCTCCATATTGAAGACTAACCAGGAATTTTACTTCTATTTTTTTTTCCTTCCTTCTGCTCTAGGATGCTAAACAAAATTAATTAGAAAATTTTCTAGACAGCTTAAGATGTTCGTGGGATGTCCTGGTCATTGAAAATTAATTCAAGAAAATTTCTAGACAGTGCCTATTTGGGGACAAAGCGCCAAATCATACTTGTCAGTCACGGATTACCTGTCGTTTGGGATGAAACCCATTGAGTTTTAGAATTGGAGGTGGCCTATCTCGATTGCAGTTCCGAAGTATATATGAATCTAATCTTACTAATAGTTTTTGTTTGCATTATTTGTGCACTAATCACCACCATTGATTTCCATCAAGATGTCCATCTCAATCATCTTTCACATCAGACAGTGAAGCCCCACCACTGATCACCACCACCATCCAACAACCCTCCTTCACAAGATTAACAGTTCATTCCCTTGATTTGGTTATCAGCTGATTCTCATTCTCATATGAGATTTCTCTCCTATATATGTTAATTTATTCAAGGGAAATGTCAAGCTATAAGACTGAAAATACAAATATATACAGTGTAGGTACAAAGTTTAAGCATCATATACAAGGTTTTGCACTGAATATAAATTGCAGTTGCAAATACAAATATGTATATAGAACATATTTGTATTTGCACTCTTTTGAAACAAATACCAGTCTCGATTTGGGAAGAGTGCAAATACAAATGTATTCGGTGCAAAATCTTGCATGTTGTATTTCTAAACCTTGTATTTATATTTTTCCCAAACTGAGCTTAAGAGAAAGTCTTACGATTTGTGTGTTTGTAGTGCAATTTCATTTACACTGATATAAAAGTATACGAGTGTAAATGGTTTCAGTGCAAATTTTGATTTATATTTGTTTCATGTTTTGCCTTATTTTGTTTGTTTGCAACTTTGCATGGTAGATAAAGTAAAATAAAACCTGAAGATAATGTAAAATCCAAAGCAAAAGTGGACCAATTTTTGCAATTTTTTCTCATTTAAACTTGTATGCATTTGTATTAGTGCTATCGTATTTATGATTCTAGTTTTCGTCAGTTGTTTTTCAGATATTATATATTTTCCATATCATAGTTGAACCAAACAAAAAGGGAATCCTCAGTTTTTGACTTTTTTCCTAAAAGAAAATTATTTCTTAAAAATTCCTTAAAATTGTCCCCCTCATGAAAAATCAAAAGAAACCTATTCCCCTATTGATTTTTGAAAAAACAATTTACTAAATATGGATTTTCATTTCTCAAAATGATTTGCCAAACCAATCGATGTGTAAGGTAAGGAAAATCAATAAACCATCTCTCTTACCAAACACAACTTAATTAATCTTAATATCAACATCTAATCATCTCTCTTACCAAACACAGCCTAATTAATCCAAATATCAACCTCTAATAATCTCTCTTACCAAACACAACTTAATTAATCCTAATATCAACCTCTAGTCTAGTGTGCGTGCATATCTATATCTATACTATCTATAAAAGAGTAAATTCTCTTTTTTTCTAAAATTTTTATTGAACATTTTCTACCCATCTTGTCAAAGCACACAGTGGACATAAAAGAGAGCATATATGTCCTTTACTCTCATTTAAGAAACTGCCCATTTATAACTGTTTAAAAACTATTCACTTATAAGTTATAACCATTCAGAAATTATCCATGAATTATAAATAATTTTGTCTTAAAAATACTTAAAATAATGCTACGTGCAAGTGCAATTACACATTTACTACTATAGACAAAAGTGTATATATTGTAGCCTTGTAGGTAAAACAAAAGCTATACTGACATTGTCTAACCACCGTGTCAACTTCAACACGGAACACGTGGCAACCAATCTTCACTCGATAAAGCCATCTAATAAGATACAGTTTGTTGCCAAGTGATATGCTGTGACAGGGACACGCCATGCTTACGACAGTTCTTCAACTTGAAACCTGACCCCACAATAAAATGCAGGAGATGGTAGGTCATAGAACAGAGACTGATGATAAGTGCATATCTAAGGTTGCGTTTGGACCGAGATGAGAATTTCTATATATGGGTCATAAAAGTCGTCTTATCTACCTATAAATTACAAAACCAAACACTTTCATAGACCAGAAGATTGATTCATTTGGTTGATGCTTGAGCCATCATCATCTAATCCGTAGACCGTTCAACATTATTGGCGCTTCATCCCATGATTCTTCTTTAAAATTTGGATACAATTCTGTATTTCAGCTAGTTGCCTAATTTATCAGAACCGGTCGGACTACTGAGCGGCTGGGCTGGTTCAATTTGATTCCAACCAAACCGTAGAATACTGGTATTATCTACTAAGCCAATTATATATCAGAACCAAGCAAATTTTACGTATACTAAAAGTAGGTTTTCTCCATATCAATAGGAATTGATTTTAGTAAAATCAGTCATCCCTCTACTTATCCTCTTCTTCTTCTTCTTCTTTACGCTCATTTTGGAAAGAGTATAAATATAAATATGTACAATACAAATACATACAAAATAACATAGTTTTTAAAAACGAACCGGTGATCGAACCGGTTTGGGGTCTAGTTATCGGTTTGAACGGTCTGACCATTCGACCCGAACGACCAGCCCGTTCTGACAAAAAAAATAAAAAAATTGGAAAACAGTCAAAATCATTCAAACGATTCGAATGGTTAACCGGCTGATTCAGCGGTTTGCTGACTAAAATCAACGATTTTGAGGAAAAAAACAGTTTTTGAGGAAAACGAAACCTATCAGGTAACTGGTTCCCGATTTTTCCGGTTCAACCATCCGATCCAGTCCAATTTTGAAAACAGTGCAAAATAATACAAAATACAAGGATTTACACTATACATATTTGTATTTATACTCCTTCCGAACAATGCTTTAAAATCAAATCAACGCATGAGAGCGCAAGTGAGAAGAATACCATCATAATGCAGATGAAATTGCACTACAAATAGATCAGACCTTAAAATTTGTTAAATACCCGGCCTTCGGCAAAGCTATTGTCACCACTTGATCTTTTAAAATCACAGACTCAATTTGAAAAAAATATAAATACAAATATGTATAATATAAATACATACAAAATACAAAATTTTGCATTCTACGTAATATTTATACTCCTTCCAAACTGAGCCAAAAAAACAAAAATGTAAACGTAGTCTGTTTGGTGCAAAAGCACAGGGATATGGACTACGTTTTACCTCTTGTCTTTTTGTGATCAAAGGCCCCTTCATATTCTGTTCATTCTGAACCCTCTAAACTAAATTTTATACAAAATTGACAATTACTTAAGTCTTGATCCAAAAATTGACATATACTACATGGGTCGACCAACAGGCTAAGCCATTTTTAAGATAAAACCAGTTCGGTTGGCGGGTGATCCTTGTACAAATCCTGTTTCCAAACCCATCTAAACCCCGAACTGAATTCGGATTTGTTTTTCACAGAGGGTGTTTCACACCAATCTCAAAGACTTTCAACTGTGCATTTAAGACATTTCCTGTACTTAATTTTATTATTCATGAAAAGATGTTCCCAATGCAAATGCAAGGCTGTGATGTACTGTGAGGTTGGTGTGATACCCGGGAGGAGCAAATCTGATTTCCCCCTACTACACCAGCCAACAAGTCAGTGATGCCAAACTTGACGACAAAATCAAACACATGCAACTGTCCCAAATAGCAAGCAAAGCTTATTGTCAAACATGGTACTCTTTTGTTGATGGAATGACTGAACCTTATCCACCCATTGTCTGCCTTGGACCATATCAATCGTTCAGTGGTTGTTGTTGGTTCACGGGATTATAGTGGCCTAGGAGTAGGTGTGTCGATTGACAAGTTTTAGGTTGGATGCCGTCTAAGTCAAAATCAATTTGAACAAATTGAAAAAACTAATAAGATATATTGAATTGGACAGGTCTAGATTTTATGGTTCAAAATATTTATTAGACTGGATTGGACCTGATCCATCCGTAGTGCATTTATATTGGATTGGGTCAGATTGAACCAATATCCGGTCCCTTGATAGAAGATAGGAACGCAGGTGTGGATGGACTATGTTTTGGTTGGAAAGAATAAATTAAAACAGTCCAGACATTGAATTGGACTGGTCCTGATCTAATCCATTTGCATTGAACTCATATTGTATTAGATAGAAATGGACCAATATCCGGTCCATTGACTGGATGTGTACTGTACATTGGCTTGGAGTCTAGGACTCTAGGGAGATAGAAGCCTATATAAGCGAAATTTATAGCAAGAAAAATTAAAAAAAAAAAGAGCTCTATGATACAGTCGGCTGGTACATATTGATCATCAAAATTAGGAGAGTCAATTGGACTGGATTTGGTCCAATCTGATCCAGTCCAATGTGAGTCCATTATAAATGGATCAGGTCCAATTCAATCCAATGAATGATTTGGACCAATTTGGATCGGTCCAATTCAATGTCTGGACCATTTATTCTGTTCGAATTCATTTTGATTTAGATAGGTTTCAACCCAAATCCAGTCCATTAACACATATATTCTTATCTTATATCAACGAACCAGATATTGGCTTAATCCAAGCCAATCCAATATAAATTTGTTACAAATGAACCAAATCCAATCCAATCTAATAAATATTTTAAACCGGATTGATCCAATCCTATATGTCTTATTGGTCCGTTCAATCCGTCCAAATTGATTTTAGACTGGACGGGTCCAATCTAAAACCAGTACATTGATACCCTTAATCAAAAGTAATTAGCAACTTTAAACAATGGCGTCAAAGACCCTTTAATAAAGTTTAAACTATCTTTTAGAGAATTACTGACATAGGAGTTCACAGTTAGAGAATGTGTATCAAGATCTTGGTAAAACGTTTCCTCTAACCGGAACACTCATGCCTTTAGACAAGTTGAAGATATCATCCACCCTATCCTGATAGGACCAAAAAAACATCTTGACCACAACTGGAGCAGGTATCAATGGCAATTTTCGAATCAGAGACCACAATTATTATATTCTCCCACCCCTCTTCTACAGCGAATTACACCCAGCTCTTCTTCCGGGGAAGAGGTATACATCGGGCCGTGTCGCCCGTGGTTCGGCAAGAATTTGGACCGGCCCAGCACGACCATGGGCCGGCATAGCACGGCATGACCAAGCGGGCTGTGCCTATTTATACATGTTTTATATATAGTTATATAAATTATAATTATATAATTTATACACAAAATTATATATAAAATTAAAATTTTAAGTTTTTTGTCATTTTTTTAAATAAATAGCTTTGCCCCAAAATTTTCACCGAATAGGGTGACACGGCCCATGACGGCCCATGGGCCAACATAGCACATCCCGCTCTTTGTACGAACCACCTACGGACCATAGCGTATCAGCCTGGCACGGCCCACTTTACACCTCTATTCCAGGGGATCTTAAGATGCAGCTACAATAAAAGAATTTTCATTAGCCAAAATACAAAAACCAAAAAAACCTATACTTTTCTGTTCTCTCATCAGTTTAGAAATCAACATCTTGAGAATTATTAGCATTAATCACAACCTCAAGAAATTAAAACTGAAAACCTTATTTATTTTCCTAATTAATAACAGCTTTTAAGGGGACGGGTTCAAATTAGCAAAAAAAAGGTTATCACTTCTCGCATGCCAAATAAAATACCAAGCTACAGAAAATTAAACCAACTCAAAATTTCAGAAAGGTGAGACTTCACTCAACAGCAGGTCAGAGAACAGAAAATCAATAAACTGATCAGTCAAGGAAGTAAATTGCAAAGCCGTCCTAAACACACTAGACCAATCAAACACTAGCAAACAAAAGTTAGGATCTCCTCAACAAAAACCCATTCCAACATGATATGCGTCTTCTCAAACTAGCCATGCCATGGAAAGCCTGCAGTTCCGTAGAATTGATCCTACACTTGTTTTGGAGTGATGCTGACTGATCATCTCAACTAAAGAATCATTGGGACATGGAGTTGAAGTTCATCTTCTTCACAATATGGATTTATTATATATACTTAATTAGAAGAAAGTAACTTGGAGTTGATGTTTTTGGATTGCAAATAACTTAAATAACTTCAAGTTAAATAATTTTTAGTTTCATGTAACAATTGGAAATATTTTCATGTGTGTGATCTTAAAGTAGTGACAATCTCTGAGGGGCAAATTTGCATTAGTATGACTGAAAATTGGGCTGACTTGGATTGAACATTCTTTAAAGTTTGGATGGGTCAGGCTTAAAAGACCGGAATTAATGCAATTCTCAGAAAACTGGACCTGTTGAACCATGACCCGGGCCTTGGCCAGTTCAGTCATACCCCCCATTATTAGAATGAGTTAAAAAACCAGCCAGCCGTCCAACAAAAAGATTGGTGAGCTGATCCCAGTTTTAGAAACCAATTCATTTTCTGATTTTTTTTAACTGTACACAAATTCAAACTTTCAAAGACTATAACTTTGCACTTAGTCGTCTAAGTAGGGTGATCTTTTTTTTTTTTTTTTTTTGAGCAATTTGTTGAGACCTATGTGTTTCCAAGTGCCAAAGGTGCCTTGCTTCACTATTTTTTCCTAAAAAAAGTTCCTTTTCTAGTCTCAAATCTTATTTTTTAATGTATAAATTGAAACTAAAATAAAAATTTAAATTATAGTAGAATATAACTATATATTTTGAATATGTATATTATTATTATTATTATTATTATTATTGCAATGTAAATTACTAAATTATTCAAATTGAGTTTCCAGGCTGCACCTCTATGCATTAGTGGTATGGACACAGATGATGATGATAAATAAGTAATCTGAAAATACTGGTAGACAAACACAAATTTGCCATAACATCAACATGGAGGCAGCAGTCAAAGAAGATTTACTGAAATTTATACACAAAATTTCTACCAAAAAAAACTCATACAGTATTTATTTATTTATTAAAGGGTGAGAAATAGAATTAAGGGGTGCTGATTAAAGAAATAAAATCGGATAATAAATGTGAAAAATTATTCAAATTGAATAATGAGATTTCTACATGGTGTTTGGAAGTATGGGCATTTTTTGGGACCGATTTTCAAGAAAAAATGTCAATGATTTTAAGACCCGTTTTTCACAAAAAAACGCTTCTGCCATGTAGGTAGTGAGCACTATGCTGTTTGGTAAGATGATTTTTATCACCGTTTTTCATGTATGTGCTGATAGGTAAGCACCACATAGGATACACATCAGTCAACCATTGGGGGAAATGGTTCACCGATTTCATGATTCGGTGGGGTCTCGATTTTCAAGACATGTCTTATTTTTTAATAATCGGTTGAACTAAACAATGAGATACATGGGCGTTTGTTGAAACACCTATGTAAATCCGATGTGGCACCACTTTTTTGAAAAATGGCCACGGTTCCAAACATCCCCTAGTTGGAGAAAACAACGTTTACAAATGTTTTCTTATTTATCCAGCTAATTTTCTTCTGAATATTCAAATTTTTGTATGGTTGCAACGGTCGGGTTCCATTCTTATTTCTGCTCCATTTCTATTTGAAGAAAATCCAAAAACGACCAAAAAGGGTTTTAGTTAGCTTCGGTTCCGAGCCAGATCTCAGTACCGTTGCACCGAACCAAAAATTCAAACTCCCAAGCGACTATTGACCGCTCAAATATCCTCCCAGCCGATCGTCACCGTCCGAACTGATACCCTCTCCCAGCCTCTCTCTTCAACTACCTTTCTCTCTCTCTTTCCCCCTAACTCCCCCAACTATTTTCCTTCTCTCTCTCTGTCGAACTCGGAACACTGCAGAAGAAAATCCCTCCGCCAGAGAGCGAAAATGGTGTCCAAAGTCATCAAGAAAACTCCGACCAAAACCATTAAAGATTGCCGCAGCCGTCGCCGGAAGAAGTCACCGTTGAAGAGCGTCGCGAAGGCCTCGTCGATCGTCCTCTCCTCGATCAACAACTCGTTCTTCACATGCCAGCGTCGTCTCATCAAGCTCTTCACTAAGCTCGCTCGTATCAGCACCCCAAATCGTCGCAAACAAGGGTTTCATCTGCTTAAGAAGTTTCCCCAAGAAGACGAACAACAACCAGAGAATGAAATGGGTCTGGTCCGTCGGGTTCTCACATTCGGAAAATACCTTCCTCCATTGCCATGGCCCGAGAAAAAGACCATTTTTCTGGACCTGGATGAGACTTTGATTCATTCCAACCCGGACCCACCGCCGGAGAAGTACGATTTCATTGTGCGGCCGTCGATCGGAGGGGAGACGATGAATTTCTACGTGTTGAAGCGTCCGGGCGTCGATGAGCTGTTGGAAGCCATCGGAGGGAAGTTCGAGATCGTCGTGTTCACGGCAGGATTGAAGGAATACGCGTCTCTGGTTCTTGATAAGATTGACCCGAAGGGGCTAATCTCTCATCGGCTCTACAGAGATTCGTGCAAGGAAATGGATGGGAAGTTCGTGAAGGACTTGTCTGAAGTGGGGAGAGATCTGAAGAGGGTAGTGATTGTAGATGACAATCCGAATGCATACGTTTTCCAGCCTGAGAACGCACTTCCTGTGCGTCCGTTTATCGATGATCTTCAGGATCAGGAGCTTCGAAGAGTGATCAAGTTTTTCGAAGTTGCCGATGGGTTCGAAGATATGAGGGATGCGGTCAAGAATTTTCTCTCCGCTGGAGATGAGAATGCCGATTTGTTATCTTCTTCTACATTTCTTAATTGATTTCTCTTATTTTTTTTACTGTGAAAAAATGTAATTCTATGAACAGCAGCGTTCATTCATTTACCAGAGAAAAATTAAGAAAAAAAACAAAAGATATTTTTTATCTCTCTGTGTCTCTCTCATGCATAGATATATGGATAGAGGAAAGCGGTACACTAGAGAAGATGAAGTGCTGAAGGAGCCAACAAGGAAGTGGGAGAGGTTCCGTTTGGTTGGAAAGGAGAAATCAGCGAACAAGTGAGTTTGTTTCGGACATACGGTCTCGAATCTGGGCTTTACATTCCGGAAAGGCCCACCAAAGCTAGAAGGACACAACTTTGATACAAAGTGGCCCATTCTTTCTTCTTTACTGGACCCAAGTGTACTGTGAATATGATAAAAGTGTAATTCCTTGGCGCTCCAAGCCTTTAAAAAATCTCCATATGTTCAAAGTTCAAACCTAAAGTGAAACAGAACTTTCAGGTTATTTCTCTGCCAGCCCTTCGCTTTCACATTGAAGTTAGTTTGATTTAGGTGGGGTTCAACAATATGGTTGGTTTTGTTTTTGAAAATAAAATCAACTATAACACATAAAGCAAAATTATATTGTTTTTGCTTTTATCACAAACAAATAACTAGTAAAAGCACTATCTAGAACCGCCCTCGACGGGTTGATGCCAATATGGGCAAGATTAGCTAGTCTATCATGAGATTCTAGGGGTGTTTATAGGACTTTTTTTTTTTTCTAAACTAAATTGGTAACATCCTGAACCGAAACCAATTTCTTTTGAAGGGCTACACAACGGAGTATAGCCCATCCCCCAACCTAGGTGCGGGCGGGATTCGATCCCATGTCTTCGCTACGATCAACATGAGACCTTACCAACCAGTTGATTGGTACCTTGTATTTATAATATATATTATATGAGACGGCTACGGTTAAAAACTACTGACATGTCAAGATCCAAATTTAAATTATATATATAACCAATGGATAATTGAAACACAACTTGGGTTTTGTTTTATGCTTTTCCACCAAGCTTTCTACATGAATAATTGAAACCTTAGGAACTTTTGCTTTCCATATGAGATTCCAATTAGTTATGGAACTTGACGATGAAGGCCTTAAGTTATAATAATAAACAATAACTTGTAACTAGATTTAACACAGTAAATAGCTTTTTTTAGAGTTTCCAAAGAGTCATGTCATCAGCAAGGTGATGGAAGGTTGGGAGCTAGATGATGTGGTTCACAGTTTCAGGCTTGATCAATTATCTGAGGGTTAGGTATTCCAACTTCACTGTCTTAATAGATCATTGTCCTAAATTCCTATAGGGGCTAATTTTGGAATGATTCATCCAACTTTGGGATCCCATCTCTTAAAGATGGAATCCAAAGATCCAACAGATGAATGTCCTGGCCATCCCTGTTTTTTGGTAATCAATCCTGGCCATCTTAAGTTACCAAAAAAAGGGCACCTTACAGTTTATCATGTCCACTACCTTCCTCCATGAAGCAGAGTAAACTGCCTTTTTTTTTATAAATTGAAAAGTGCAAAGTATCAACCAGCTGATTGGTAAGGTTTCCTGCTTGTCGTAGCAGAGACTTGGGATCGAATCCCGCCTGCATCTGAATTGAGGGATGGACTGCCCTTCAAAAGATATAAAAAATAGAAATGTGAGTTTTTCTTAGTGTGTTTTTCTTTAGATTTTGGTCTACATATTTTCCCCAAGCTATTTGTAAAGAGAACTCCTGGAATTTGACCTTTTCCACTATTTTCTTTTTTCTGGATCCATCCCATTCAAGATAGAGTTTTCTTTGGAAGAATGTTAGAAGCCATAACGTATCATGTATGTGGGCAAATCTTGCAAGGCAGCCTTTGACCAAAGTGGTTTTATAAGCTAGAGAAAGAATTTAGATTTCCAATTGACAAATTTTGATTGTAATTTTTTAATTATTTCTTGATGGTGAGAATTGTTCTACCTTTGAAGTAGAGCTTTGCCCCTAGATATCTTTCCTTTATATTCATTTACTTCCTATTTAGAAGTTGTAGTAGCATCTTTCTCTACCTTCTATGCGCCTCTTTATTGAACTGAGCACCTAACTTGGCCATCTTTATTCTCTCTTAACAATTCTGCAAATAGGTCAACCTTGCACATGATTAGATAGTCATCAACAAAGAGAAGATGAGTGTGATAGGAGCACCTCTTCTACATAGCTTATCTCTATTGATCTCCATAGAGTTTAACAGGCTCAATAAAGCATGTATATTCACCATAAAAAGGGTAAGGGGACAGAGGGTCTCCTAATTTCAAGAGGATATTGGTAATAAGGTATCAGCATGACCCATCCTTTACCCTTCTCTTTCTTCATCTTATTTACTATTATATCCTAATTTGGATATATTAGTTTCTCCAGCTTAAATTGCATCCTCAAACCAAACCATGAATTTCGGAATTATTTTGTAATAAAACATTGTAAACACTTATAGGCCTGTATTGAGAAATTTGTTTTGGGTTCTACTAGGTTGGTAGAGTTTAATCCAAGGGGAATTTTATTATTTCTAAAAAAGATCACTAGTTTGGAGACCATCCTCCTTCATAATGGATAAGAATTTTTTATAAAACCATGTAGATCAGGGGAAGAGTGAGATCTCATAGATTTTGTTAACATTTCAATTTCTTCATCTAAGGGGGCATAGCAACTTCATTAGCTTCATCTTCTGTTAATTTATGTTGAATCAGCCACAAAACGACCTCTAAATCATTTTCACGTTGGTCTCCACCCTTCTTTAGGAATTCTAAAGCATTACTTCTCTTATTAAAATTTATAATTTTGGTCGAAACATTTTGTGTTTCTATCTTCTTCTCTTAACCATATTTCTCTGAATTTTAATATCCACAACTACTATTATTCTCTCAATAACCAACCATTTTTCATACTCCCCTTTCAACTATATTGAATTACTACAATTGCTTGACGATATGATATAAAATCCTCCAAAGCTTTTAATTTTCTTAGATGATCTTCAATTCATATTTTCATGACAAGCAAAATTTGACCAATGATTCTCTCTCTCTCTCTCTCTTTTACATCAAAGCATTTTTCATTAATTTTGCTCCAAAATCAGGATAATCCATCCCCCAAAACCCATAATCAGGATAATCCAGATGCAACTAGAATTCGATCTCAAGTGTCCATTACAATCAGTTGCAAAAGACCTTTCTATATTATGATAATTAAAAATTAGAGGGGATGGAACCGAGTATTTAATCGATTAAGATTACAAATCATCAAGTCATCTTGAGTAAAGCATGAGCTACATTATTACCCGTACGATAAACAAAGGAGATTGAATAGTGATTAAAGGAATGCAAAAGTCTCCTACAATCAACAATCACATGGTGAAGCCTCCAAGGAATTAATAGATTTTGGTTCAACAGAAGAAAACAATCTATTTCCAAATTCTGGGAATTTGCATCTTTTGTCCCCTTAATGCAGAAAATTTTCTATACCAGACCAATAGCAATATACCACATCAGCTTCTTTTTTAAACGATGTGGCCGATTATTATTGGTACCATGGGAAAATCGCCGATTGGCACCTTGCTACTGATATCTTAATTCGATTGCCGAATTTGTAAATGAATCAAGTTCAAATATGTGCTTTACGTATTCATGGAATATTATTTTTTTAGAAATACGAGGAGCTATACAAGTAGTCAGGGCATAATTGGGATCCAACACCACTCAAACAATACACAAAAGAGCACTAAGGAGAGAAAATAAAATAAATACACAATCTAAATATATAAGTGGGGTAAATATATCATTAGGGGTGAGCAAAAAAAACCAAAAAATTGAACCGATCGAAAGAATTGACTGAAATTGAACCAAAAAATTGGTTAACCAAACCGATCAATTTAGTTTCAATTCGGTGTTTTTAAAAAAAATCAAAGGTATTAATTCGGTTTCGATTAACCAATATAGAAAACCAGCAGTTAACCGAACTGACCGGTATACATATATTTCTATATATTTATGTATATTATATATTATATACTTTTTATATATTATAAATTAATAAATATGAATTATATATAAATATATATTTTTAATATATGATATATTATTTATTATTTAAAATATAATATTTTATATATATATATAACTTTTTATTATAGATTTATATATAGTTTTATAATGTATATTATAAAAATTATGAAACTGAAAAATCGACGAACTGAACTGATAAACCGATTGGCTTCAATTCAGGTTCGGTTACCGGTTTTTCAAAACCAATAGTACCGGTTCGATAAAAAAAGCCCACACCCCTACACATCATACAAGGGCGGGATTGGATTGGGCAGAACTTAATTCGGGCCTCGGGCTATCTAAAACCAGATCGTCAGGTTGAGGTCCAGCCCAGAGCTCAAAAAAATCTACGACCAATCCATACCAAAGGCTCGGGTTGCGAATTGCGATGGGTTAAGATCGGATTGGGCCCGTCTAAACCCGAATGGTCAACCAGATAAATGATCACACCACCGACGGTTCAATCTGGTCGTGAGGGTATTCTGATAATTTTGAGCTTCCCAATTTTCCACCGCAAAACCCTAACCTGATAAGACCCCGTTCTCTCCCTCGTTCGCTTCATCTCCCCTCCTCTTCTTAGACCAGCCGAAGTCTGCGACCAGAGTCACAGACAGCAGAGGATCCACTCTTCCTTCTGGTCACATCGGAAAAAAATGGTATCTTCAGACTTCTCTTCGCTACGATCTCTGGTTTCATTATGTTCTTACTTCTTTTTCTTCACCTCCCAATTTTCTTCTAATCTAATACCATCTTTTACAGACGTTCAAGAGGAGAAACGGAGGACGAAACAAGCATGGCAGAGGCCATGTCAGGTTCATTCGCTGCTCTAACTGCGGCAAATGCTGCCCTAAGGTTCTTCCTCTCTCTTCTTCTTCTTTGGTTTTTGTTATTTGTGGGTTTTCTTTGCTTCTGAAACTTTCTTTTCATTATTTTTTAAATAAATTAATATTAGGACAAGGCAATCAAGCGATTCCTTGTGAGGAACATCGTCGAACAGGCAGCAGTCCGTGATGTCCAGGAAGCTAGCGTTTACGAGAGTAATTAGTCTTCTTATCGGATCCCCCGTTTTTATTTGTTGTTTATTTTTGTTGAATCAGTTTTTATCTTCTCTTCTTCCTTTCTGTTGATTTCTGTTCTCAATGTATTGAAATAGGCTACACACTCCCAAAGCTATACGCGAAGATGCAATACTGCGTTTCGTGTGCGATCCACTCTCACGTAGTTCGTGTGAGGTCCCGTACCGATCGCCGCAACCGTGAGCCTCCACAGCGCTTCAGGCGCAGGGTACGCTCTGGCATTCATTATATGACTTTGATTTATAATGAACTGGTGTTTTTTTTTTTTTTTTAAGATTTTTGTTCATTTTTGTTTGTGTTTGTTTTGATGTGTTCAGGAGGATTTGGGTAAGCCAGGACAAGCTCCACGCCCAGCTGCCGCTGCTGTTCCGGCCCGTACGTGAGGGTTTATTTACTTGGATTACTAGTCTTTATAGTTATGTACTCGGTTGAGGGTTAATTTTGTTCTTCTGGATTTATTTCACAATTCTGTTTCCGTACTTGACTATGGCACACATTGAGCAATTGAACACTATTGCCGAGGGAAATTTAGGTGTTTACTTATTATGAAAGGCTATTCCATTTTGCTGGTTTTGTTATAATTATTTTTTATTTAAATCTCTGCCGTTATAGTTTCATTGTTTTTCCTTTTAGTTTTTTGATCTTTGTACCAATGGTTTGTGGTGTTGGTGGTTTTAGTGGTGGATAAGACTGTAGTTGTAGCTGTTTATTTTTCGTTTCTTTTAAGTCACTAATTGCTTGTTTATTGTGAAATTCCTTTCCCTTTAGGTTTATCTTGGTCACTTGAAATGGACTATAATTTTGGTCGGCAGTATCTTTGGTATAGGGGAAAATACCCATCAATTCATTCCCATGGTCTGATCAATAAACTAATTTGAGGGTAGATAGCTGTGAGTTGGGGAGTTTTGATATTTTGGGGTTCCTTAACTAATTGAACATGGAATTAAACCATGTGAAAATAACCCAACATGCCAAAGAAGTTGCAGAAGTTGAAATATGAATTATGAACCATAAATGTGTACATTATGCAGCCATCAAAGAAACGTGTACCATGTACTAAGAAAATTTCTATGGTCTGAAGTTATATTCACAACGTAGTGGTTGTCCACCACCCAATGGTAAGCCTCCTTGCACACCTGTCTCTACATTCTCCTTGTCAGGTCCAAGTAATAAGAGAGCATTTGTTTTTTTTTTTTATCAAAAAAATAAGAGAGCATGTTTTGGTTAAGGCTGCAACTTGTGCCGGGTTGGCCTGAGCCCAACCCAAAAAGTTGGGTCGGGTTGATGTTTGGGTTAGGGTTCAGGTTGAAATTCATAAACCCGATTTTACTTCGGGTTGGGTTAGGGTTGACCCCTTAGCCAACCAGAACCCGACTCTATAGTACATGTCATATATAAATATATGTTATATGTAATATATAACATACATTGATTTGTTTAGATGCATGATATTTGTATAGCCCCCACCACATGGTATCGTGTATTTCTTTTAAGATAATCGCTTCACTTAATCCTAATCAGAAAGACTAAAACCTTAATAACATTATTTTATGTTTTTTGAAAATTTTATTCTTCGTCTCGTCTGTTGTTTGCCACCCAAGAAAGATCTATCGTAAGTCATAACTCATAATAAACTATAGTCATTTCTAACACTTGTTTTTCTGAATTTTGTACTAAAAGAACAAAAAAATAACGTCAACAAACAAATACTAATGAAACATAGGATCAATCTATGTAGTAAAAGTTGAGTTAAGATCTAAAATCGAGAAATTCTAATAGGTTTTAAAGGATGGGAAGAAGGTTGGGTTGGGCCTAACCTGAGCCCAACCCAACTTGAAATTGACTTTGGGTTGGGTTAGGGTTAGGGTTTGTTGGGGTTTAGAACTTAGGGTTGGCCTCAACCCGACCTAACCGGGCCTGACTTGCAGCCCTAGTTTTGGTCATGTAGAGGAGTTATGGATTATCCAATTTGGTTATACAAGGTCATTTCTTTCTGGATCTTGCATGCACTCTGGCTACTTGACTAACATCATTGTTAGTTATAGTTGGATGTTCATGGGTTGTGACAATTCAGTCATACATTGATATTATAATAAATATATTAGGAAGGTACATGTTCTCTATAATGCAAAACAAAGATAACCTACTATTCTTAAACTTCTGTTCGAGGTTGCAATCCTTTTGTGTTGCCTTGGGAAAATCCTCTCCCTATCAGAATCAAGCAGGGTGGCCCTACGAGCTGCATTGGTGAATGGACATGAAATCTTTAGTATCATGTACAATTTGTGTGAATTGTTCAACTTTAAATGGACAAGGGTTCTCAGGGGGAAAAGTTTCTGCTAGTTTAATGTCCATTTTCTGAACATGTATCCTTTAGATGAACCAACTAGTTATATATGTGTGTGGTTTACTCTGGTCAGGAACTGTCTTTGAAGTCGAACTTCACAATATGTATCCTTAGTCCGTAGTACATAGTTGCATGTTCAAGTTTCAAGGGGGCTGATATTCTTTTTCTTGGCTGTTTATGCTATATCGCAATCCTAGAAAGAATTTCATGAAAAAAGCTAGGATGGATTAGGTCAAGTGCTTGTCTGATTGGTTATCTTGCAGTGATGGCCAAAGAGTACTCAAAACTTATAATTTCTAAACAAACTTAAGCTAGACATTCCCTGGTTTGCAGATCTGTCTTTGATTGCTGGCTGCCATATTAGCCCAGTTTTAAACGCATGACTCTGAGATGGTAAATTCATATATTGTTCTATTAAACTTTGAGGGGCTGATGATAATATTGGGTGCCATACTAGTAGCCCATCTGAACACGTCATATGAAGGTGTTTGGCTTTTTCCTAATCCAGTAATCACCAGACGGTTCTAGAATTTTGCTTCGTACCAGCACCATAACTTGCTAGAATTTAGCTGGTTTTGTGCTTTATGACTGAATTGTTTGGATTATTGAATTAGTCTTTCCTTCAGAGTAAATGGGACACGAGCTCAGGTTATTTTGTAATTGATTTTGCCCGTTATTGCCTATTGGCAGTGTGCATTATGAATCTGTTATCTCTCAACCTTCTTTCTCTCAGTCCAGACCAGTGTGTACATAGTGGTCCAATGTTGTGAGTCCGGATCTCCTGCCCATGAGAATACTGTCCACGTTTATTGCAGCTATACATGAAGAACATACCAAGTTCAATGTTGTAAGCATGTTCAATGAGCACTTTGAAAAATTTTTTATGCCTGTCCTTAAAATATCCCCTTTTTGAAAAAGATTAAAACCACTTTTTACAGTTTTAAGAATATTTATTAAATGCTTATTGAACATGTTTACTATAATGTGCCTATTATATCCGAATCCCTTTGTATTTGCCACTTTTTCCTTCATCTTTTCTCTCTCTTTCTCAATCTTCATTCATCAAAAGGAGGTTTCTCTGCAAATATTTATTAAACAAGACATTTTGTTGCATTTGACTTGCTGTTGTACATATAAGATGAATAGTCATATATTATTTGGATATAAGTAATAAAAGAAAATACATGTCCTCGTGACCATACTACGTCTTTTCTAAAAATTAACTCATCTGGCATATCTAACAAAAAAAGAACTGCGCTCTGCATAATCTCATTAGGTATTCAAGACTAAAGGTTAACTGCCCAGACTCGGTGATTCATCTCTTGCCCATTGAATATCTCAACTACAGGATCATCTACCTGGACGCCAACCTGATAAACAAAGTAAAAATATGCATCAGTTTCCCTTTTAATGGCATCATGTAACATGAGTTAACCAGGCACGTGTAGAAGTCATATCACTTGTGTAGTTTTCATAATGCAGTATTGGTTTTCTTCTTCCTTCTACGAGAGAGAGATAGTGAACGCAGATGGAGGTTGCAGGCTTGCATATTTATTGAGTCCAGACTCACTTAAATCTGGATTCCGTTAAAAGCGATGGCTACTGAACGGGCTGTGGAATCAATGGCAATGTTCCATGCCACTAGGATCCACATACCCCTTTCACGGTGGGATCCGCGAATTTGTTATTGGCGTGAATTATTACCATTGATTAGACAACCAACCGAATAGCCATTTCAGCTATTCCGAATTCGTTAAAGTTTAAATAAGAGAATATGCAGCCGTTACTCTGGTTGTGGAAAATTGCAGTCCAGAGGATGCGAACTTGTTTTTGCTTTGGAGAAGTACTGAAAGAATATTTTATTTTCTTAAAGATGTTTAATTTGAAAAAAGACTAAATCTTTAAAAAAGTGCGACTGTCTAGAGACTCTAAGGTTCGTTTTGGAAACAGTACAAATACAGATATGTATAGTGCAAAACCTTGAATATTTTAATTTTAAACCTTGTTTTACACTGTACATATTTGTATTTTACTCTTCCCAAACAGAGCATAAACAGCTAATTTCCTTTCCCATAAATCAATTTTAAGAGCAAACGCCTTTTTCCTGTCTTCTTAGGCAAAATGGAACATAAGGTTGACACCAGGTATAATTACAGTTTGGATATTGCCTTTGGTACAAGGCTTTAAATTCTCTTGGTAAGACCAAGAGTCTTATATTTTAAGCTTCTAAATACCAAATAATAATAATAATAATTTAACGAAGTCGATTGAATCTTTACCTCAAGATTCTCTATTGTCATCTTGTTAAAATGCTCACTGATATCAGGAAGAAGTTCGAATCCATCCATCAGAATGTTCTCTACTCTCTTCCTCTTGCAGAGACACCCAAGAATCCACAGTAGAAGTGCTCTTTTGCATCTGGCTTTCTTGAGATGTACTTGACATGTATAATTTACTACCACGCGAGAGCTTCTCTAAAGCCTTGAACCTCAACTCCTCGCTCAATGAATCTTGCTTAATGGTTGACACTTGAACTGCGATTTTGCATTCGAGCATACTCACCACGCTAGACATGGCTGGCCTTAGAGAGGGAGAGGGGTTGGTGCATAAGAGAGCCAACTTCAGCATCCTCAGTGCCTCTTCTTTGGAATAGTTTGATTCCAATACAGGGTCAACAAGCTCTAGGAGATTATCCCGCCCTTGTAAAACATAAGCCTGCAACTCCATAAGAAAATAAATTATATTTACTTTGTCTAAACAATTTCTACTCGTCACATTTCAAATGATACTAGAATTGGTAATCCAGTCAAGTCCAGAAAAATATATACTGATGTTTGGAGGAGATTATCTCTTATGAAGACTATGATGACACAATAAATTATTGGGTTGATTTGGGCATGCCCCATTTTTAACAAAAGGGGCACATCCCTGATTATTACTTGAGATCTACAAGTTGTTCTAAAAGGAAAAATCCGAAAGTGCTGTTTATTGCCATGTATTGATTCTTTTATCATTATAAACAGCTGTTTTTTTGCCCTTACATTGGGAAACTTGGTTTAGCAAAAGTGGGATTTCCCCAAATCACTCCCAATTGCTTCTAGGTTGAGTGGTAACCAAGAAACAAAACTCATTTTCAGTTAAATAGGTCTAATATCATAACCCCAGGAAATCCTAATGCATTACTGGTTTGAGATACACATAACAATTGATAATTTTTTCTCCCTGCTAACAATCATTGATAGTTTGCAAGTTTTCTAGAATAATCAAGTGACCAGGTTTTGAGTAGGAAAACAAACTGCTTTATGATATAAAGGAAGTGCGATTTGCAATAATGCATGGTTTACCCAATCAAGAAGATGAATACAGTCCTCCTTTGGCAAAATACTTGTGTTGCTCTTTCCACTAGTAATCTCTAACAAGACAACTCCGAAGCTGTAAACATCTGCTTTGTTGGTCAAATAACCTCTCATTGCATATTCAGGAGCCATATATCCTCTACAAAAACAATAACGAAAATGAAAACTATGTTTATACCATGTGGGCTCTACTGATGAATAAATATGTACAGATATAATTTGGGGAAATGACAGCCAAAAATGACCTAACGGTAGCAGCTAAACTAGTAGGATTATTGATGGGACTCGAAGTGAATTTCAAAGCAAAACTGTTATGTAAATGGTTGAGTTGGGAATTTTCCATTGGGTTACATTCTTGCACAGTAATCTCAATGAGACTCCTAAATTAAAGATTCCTCTCAACAGACTTCCAAGAAACAGTATTTCTTTGTTTAGATCAATTGTTTGGATCATTTCCACATGAAGAACATCCATAACTACAAATATCTACAAATATTGATAAAAAAACTACAATATCTACAAATTTTCTACTTGTCACACAAGAGATTTACTCAAGCACACATTTTAAGTACTCAAACAATAATCAATTAAGCTTAGTTGATTCAGTTGCTGGAATGATTGGATATAAAACCATGTTCCACACCTGTTGCAGCAGGTCCTAAGATGTCTCCTGTAATGCTTCTTTGACTCACACAACTAAATATGGGTACCTTGTTGTTCTACTTGACCATCACTATATCTGATCTAATCCTATAGTTGGCCAGGTCTGCCAATTCATGCATGCACCAAGGATCGAGAACCTTCAAAATGTCAGTGAATCTACCACCATCTCAAAAGCAAGCTTGAAAGTCTTATCATAAGTCTTTTAATTTCAAATCATGCGACACAATATATTTCTTAAAAATTCATGTTTATAGTCCCAAGTTATGCCATCAAAATTAAGCTTGAGATATCTCTTTTCTGGATGTTTCCACCTCCCAAGCACCTTGTTCCTTATGAATCAGTCACCTCCCCACATCCTTAGGATATCATCAAATGAGAAGGGATTAAAGATCTCCAAAGATTTTATCCAAAACATTGTTCTTATCTTGATACATTCAATCACTGCTTTCTTAGATCTTTTTTGTTCTTTGAAATTGTTGCATTTATGTTTTACAGGGAAAATGATATCATTTCAAGCATTCTATTTGAGCTCTTATGCAATTTTATCCACCAATTTTCAAGACTTAATGTGGTACCTATCTATTGAAGCTCTTGTATATGGTATGTAAATCACGTAATCATTCTTACCTCAAATGAGCAAACTGGACATTATTTCATAGAGTAATGGTCTTTGTATTAAGATGATAATCATCCATCTATTCTTAAAAATTTTCAATTTTGATACATCTAAAAGACTATAACTTTAATTTTTGGTTTAAAGTGTCATTTAATTGAGCTATGGCCTGTGGGTTCAACTCCATAATGCTCTTTTTTCCCATTAACTTCTAACCCTAAAATATTTATAACTCATTTCACATTTGCAAGGGTGGTGGTTCAGACCATCCATTCTTGAGAGGCTAGGCAAGCCCTATGTTAATAGATAATAAAGTGTTTTTTTAAAGACAACTATACCCTTTCGCTAACTTCACCAATGTGAGCTCGTCTTACACTGCTGGTCCCAAGATCAGGTAATGGAGGGTTGCATCAGGTTGGCAACTGGAATAAAACTTTTGCCAAACTATTTTGTAGCCAACCCTATATGGATAAAGGAGGGTCTTTTATACACCAAATGCTATCATAGGCAGAAAAGAAATCAGTGAGTGGGAATTAAGATAAATAACTCACAGAGTTCCAGCTATTCGGGTGCTGATATGGGTATTTTCCTCTTCATCAAGTTTAGCCAAACCGAAATCAGAAATCTTAGGATTAAGATCCTTATCAAGAAGGACATTGGTTGCCTTTATGTCTCTGTGGACAATCTTCAGCCTCGACTCTTCATGCAGATAAGCTAGGCCCCTAGCTATTCCCAAGCAAATCTTACACCTTGTTGGCCAGTCTAGCTTCATATGATGTTCCTCAGGATCTACACATGGAAGGCTGAGGTGAATTTACCAGTGCTAGTAACCCAGAGGACACATTGTCAAATACTAGAATAAAGGGCTGAGGTGAATTTACCAAATAGAGCACGGGCAAGGTTATTATTTTCCATGTATTCATATATCAATAATAGCTGGTCTCCTTCAATACAACATCCATAAAGCTTTACAAGATTTGGGTGTTTTAAAGCAGATATCATGCCTATCTCATTTATAAATTCACGGTTCCCCTGCTTTGACTTGGATGAAAGCTGCTTGACAGCAACTACAGAACCATCTGGAAGTATACCCTAAAAATCACAAAAGTAAAAGTCGTGATTTTGCAGAAATATGAGATGAAATATGTGGAAGGTAAAGGAAAAATATGTTCTATATTTTTCTTCATTTCATATGAGAGTTTTGGATTATCAACCTCAAGGTTGCAAGGTTGATCCATTAATCCCAAGAACAAGACAAAATGGTGGTGTAACTCTCTCACAAAAAAGTAAGGTTGAAAAATAATCCTTAATCAGGGTTACCTTGTAAACTGGCCCAAAGCCACCTTCGCCTATCTTATTTTCACGGTCAAAATTCCTTGTTGCTGCTTTAATTTGCTTTAAACTAAAATGACCTTTTTGTAGCTTCAAGTTTCTAAGTTCTGCAAAATCAGTGATAATTATTGTAAAAGAGAAAATGTAGCTTAGAAAAAATAGATATTTTTCAGTCTTTCATGGGCAGGTATCTGAAAAAATACCATAGTAATGCTGCAGTTTATCAATTGGATTACCCATTGGATTTTTCTGTTGACTTTTCATGGATCCATTTACGAGGCAAATCAATCAAGTAGTTTTAAATTTAAGTCCATAAACCGAATGGACACTATTCAACTATAGATACTGTCCTATCAAATAAATTCTATTACCTCCAGAAACTTCATTTGATTACCCACCGGATGGTACAAAACATGTGACCAACAATATATGAGATAGTTAAGAGGAAAACAGGGATACCATTTGGATTTGTAGCAGAAATGACAGCTTTTGCTTTCTTGACTTATCTTTGTATTCTTTATTTTTCTTTATGTTTTAGTAGAAGTTTCTGTTTTGTTCAAGTGTACCAAGAGTTAATTGTTGTGAGAAGAAATGGATCAGAAAGTTCATTGTTGTCCATGGGTTAATTCAATGCCAAATACCAGAATTATTTTCTCATTTTATTTATTAGGTTTTGGTGTCCTTTGTATCATATTTTGTTCTAGTTTTACCATGTATTAAGAATAGGTAAGTTTTCAAAGGAGTTTCTACTAGTCTAGTTAAAGTCCAAGTTCAGACACATTTTCCTTAGCAGCCAAAAATCATTGTAGAGCATCTCTTAACCTTTTTCTTTTTCCAATTTGAGATGAAAATCACCGATAGCCTTAGTAGAGATTGAACAATCTTTAATATTTGTTCCTATCAAGACTTAGTCATCCAATCCTATTATCTGATAGATGATCATGAAGTTTGATGTCTCCTTACCCTAAAATAGTAGAAAGAGAGCTATCAACAATCTTAACAAATAAGATGTGATAAGAGGAAAATTAAGGACTAGGGCTATAATTGGGTTGGATTCGGATCAGATCCAGCCACTTTCAAATTTATCCTATCATTGAACATTGAAATCTGAATCCAATTGGATCTGGGGATCTCGGATCAGATTCAGATTTAACCCAAGTCTGCTTTATACTTCTTTAAAATAAAAAGTTCATTAATTTTTAAATTATATAATTGTTGAAATCAGTTAGTTGTTCTCACTTTTCTATTTATATTTCTGTCCTTTAGTGCCACAGGGGGCACTCTTGTAATTTTACTTATTTTTATTATTAGTTGGGTCGCCCTAATATAAAAGCTAATAGCTGGCGCCGCCAGCTATATGATTTTGAATCCAAAATTTCTCTCTTTTCTCCTCTCTTCCTCTTCACCCTTCCTCTTCTCTTCTTCTCCTTCTCTGATATCTTTAACCTGGAAAACATGGTATCAGAGTGGGTTTTCTGAGGTTAGAAAGAGCACGATAAGTCTTTTCAATCCTTACTTTTTTTACTTCACCTTGCTGTGGATTGAATCTGATCAAGAAGTAGATTGGACTGATCTGAAGGGGATTCTACTAATCCTCTTCCCTTCTTCCTTGGTCGTGTGCCAAGAAACCCTTAAAGGAAGGGAACTATGGTGCTGTGAAGACAGATCTTTCTTCTTCTGTGGATCGTGTGGTCCTCTCTTGTACCCAGGTAAGTGGGTTTTGGAGGTCTAGATGACCTGAAACTGCTATGTTCTCTTTGAACTGTGGATCGTGTGATCTTGATATTTTTTGTACCCAGATAACTGGATGGTGTAGGTCTAAATGACCTGTAACTGTAAGACAGTAGTCGGCTATCTTCCTTGGGAATTTTTTCAGTATCTGTGTATCCAAGAAGATGAGAGGGTACATACAAAGTCAGCCTAGCTCCAGAGTTGCCCTCTTTTTGTCTCTGAAATGTCTTTCAGCAGTGTGCAAGCAAGTTTTTCCTATATGTGTGGTATTCCTATAATTTATTCTTGACTGAACTGAATTGGAGATTGAACTGTGGAACTGAGACTGAATTGGGGATTGAACTGTGGCTGAACTGGGGATTGAAGTATTGAACTATGACTGAACTGTAATCGAGCTGTGGCTGAACTGAACTAATCTGAACTGAACTGTGAATGAACTGTGGTTGAACTGTGACTGATTTTGAATTGAACTGGACTGATCTGTGAACCTAAATCTTATAACATGTCTTCTAAGGATTCTATCCTGTCTAGTGGGTCCTCCAGTCAAGGTGGAGTGAGTGGGGGAATCAAACTACACATAACTGCAAGGGGGAAGGTAGGCTATATTAATGGTAAAACTAAACAACTGAAGTCTCAGGGGGTAGAGAATGATATGTGGGATCAGGAAAACAGCATGGTGATGTCATGGCTGTTACTTTCTGTGTTGCCTCCAATCAGGAAGACCTTCATGTGGGCGCTGAAACAGCTGTTGAGATTTGGGAGCGGGCAAAATCTACCTATTCAGAGCAACATCATTATTCCAAAATATACCAGTTGCAAGCTGCCTCCTCTACTTGTAAGCAGGGGGAGAAGACTCTCTCAGCCTACTATTCAGATTTGACCTCAATATGGAAAGAACTAGATCACTATCAGAACATTGATTGGAAGTGTGATGCTGATAGGACTACAAGTCTCTAGTTTCCCAACAACAGGTATTTGCCTTCCTCTGGGGGCTGAACCTTGTATATGAGTCCCTCAGAGTTCAAATATTAGGAAGTAAAGATCTTCCTTCAGTACAAGAAGTGTATGCTCTAATACAGTCCACAGAGAGCAGGTGGAGGAGTGTGATGAATAGCTTCGAGGGGGAGCAGATTACCTTAGTGGCTAAAGGGAGTGTGGGTGTAGGAGGCAATAATTCCTTTAAGAAGAGTAACTTCTAGAAGAGAGTGGATGATAAGGATAAGTTATGGTGTATTCATTGCCAAAAGGCCAAACATACTCGAGATACTTGTTGGGATCTCCATGGAAAGCCAAAGTGGGCTAAGGAGTTGAGTAAGAAATCATATCAAAATAAGAAGCCGAGATAACCGAGTCAGAAAAAGTTCAATACAACAAACTTGGCCTCTCAGGAGCCTCATTCATCTACTGCTATCAACCAGGACCGCCCATCCGTTGCCAATCCCCGGGAAGATATCATTAATTCTTTCCAATAACCACATGGATCTATATGGGAGAGCAATATGCCAGATGGATTCTGCTCCTCCCGCATCGACTTCTTTTGCATCTACTTCAGGTAATGGTAATTCTGCCACCGCCTTCCATGTGTCCTCCCATTCATCTGATTCCCCTTGGATAATTGACTTTGGAGCCTCAAACCATATGATGGGTAAATCAAATTGCTTTCATGTTTTATCTGGTAGGGACAAAGCGAGATTAGTTGATGGTTCTTTTTCCACCATAGCTGGTCAAGGAACCATATCCCTTCCTTTTGGACTTACCCTTTCTAATGTATTACATGTTCGGAAATTACCATAAACTTGTTTTCTGTCAGTAGCATTGCAATTTCATTAAACTGTTCAGTGACCTTTTTCCCTTCTTGTGTATCACAGGGTTCGAACTTGGGGAAGATGATTGGTAGAGGTCGTATGCTGGATGGTCTCTACATGCTGGAGAGCAAAGCTAGTCTTGCGGTCATTGAGTCTACGAGTCAATCTAGTATGAGTCAAGTCTACTTATGGCATAGTCATTTGGGTCATTTATCTTTTGAGTCACTAAAAGTCTTACTTCTGGATTTATTTAAATTAGTGCTAGTGAGTTCAAATGTCAAACTTGTCAGTTGAGCAAACATTATAGAAATCATTTTTCTTCAAGAAATAATAAATCCGATTTTCAATGGACCCAACCCTAACTCGAGTTCAATATAGTTGAAATTCTTCAAGTTGGGCAACCCAAATTGCACCCTACTCTTTAATACAAACTTATAGTTGAAATTCTTCAAGTTGAACAGGATTATGTACAATGTTGATAGCTGCTTGGTTGTCACAGTAGAGCATCATTGGCTTCTCGTAGTCAACCCCCAATTCTTCTAAAAGGGATCGTAGCCACAGTAATTCTGACACACCATGTACCATTGCCCTGTATTCTGCTTCAGTTGAGGATCTAGAAACTAAAGATTGTTTCTTACTCCTCCATGATACAATGTTCCCAGCGACTAGAGCACAATAACCTGAGGTGGATCTCCTATCATCAATACATCCTGCCCAATCAGCATCAGTAAAAGCTTCCAGCTTCATGTGTCCATGTTTGGAAAATAGAATACCTTTCCCTGGAGTACCTTTCAAGTAACACAGAACCCTTTCTGCAACAGGTAAATGAGTATCTCTAGGAGAATGCATAAATTGACTAATAACACTTGTTGCATAGGAAATATCTGGCTGGGTCATGCAAAGATAATAACAACTTCCCAAGCAGTCTCTGAAACACCCCCTTATCAGATAAAAGCTCATCATTTGTAGCAGAAAGCTTATGATTGGGATCAATAGGAGTGGAGATTGGTCAAAAAATACCGAAGATCTTCCAAATCCTTGATCTCAAATTCAGAGTTGAGAAATCTTTTTAGTTTACTGACCTCTTGAGTGTCATTACCCGTGACCACAATATCATCAACATAAACTATCAAGAAGGTCACCAGAGAGCCATTTCTCTTCAAGAACAAGGTATGATCAGATTGAGTTTGTGTGTAACCAAAGG